TTGTCGAGGGCGTCGACAGCCCATAATAATGTTCGACAGCAATATGTATGTATAATCTACCGTTTATTGGTGGAGCCTGAAGAGTGAATAAATCAACGGAGTTTGATTTTTCTGTATGCGAGTGCGTATGCGTGTGTGCTCTGTCTGTAAGCGATGCGTAATTGTTAGGTGTGAAAAGTTCGACGGGCGTTCGTGCGTGTTTAGGCATTCGACGAATTGTTCACTTCTCATCGATCGTTTGAAAATGTTTGCCATTAGAACATTCCTGTGTTTCGTGTAGCTGAAACGCGATACATTTTTTTAGAAGCTCGTTTTCCGTTCAAGGAAGGTGTAACGGATTCGCGTATGCCTAATGAAAGCGAATGAAAGATGACTGTTTTATTGACAGGAACGTCCGCCGAACGTGCGAGAACATTTTTATGCCTAGATTCTTGAGAACAAACATTTTTTCGCAAGTTTACCGCACACTCGAGTTGCACCCCGGAGGAATAAAAACTGGTAACAGGTGTTTCGACAAAAGTTTTCACAAGATCTTTTTCTAAAATCTTTCAACACACGCCGAGCTGCAACGATCGCGCCGCGCGACTTTTGCAGCCGTCCAAGAGATGGTAACTGTACAAATGACAAGAGGAAGGGAAAATAAAAACAGACGAACAAACGGTTACTCTTTGTAACTTCTTGTATCACGCGAAAACATTGCCAATTATAGTTTATAATAATTAATTTAATCCGATGCGTATTAGGCGGGTTCGAGGTCATTTTATCATTTCACTGTTTTCTCGGTCATTGGAAAATGACTCTAGAGTCCGCCCGTGTTCAAATGGTGATATATACATCATCAAATAATAATAATACGTTCAACTGTACATGTTTATTAAAGTACCTGAATGGAAACCACTATTCTTGTGTTTTGTCTTCGTCGCGAAGTGCGGATCGTGTTCCACGCCACGTGTAAACGACACCACGTTCGCGTTATACTCTCGGGACTCCTCCCTTTTTCTGTTTGTCTAACGCCTAACGTTTCTCTCCGGGCTTCGCCAGCTAAGCTTTCTACTCGCAAGTGCACTTTTTCGTGCGTTACAGTAAAGCCACCCCCCGTTATATTTTCCCGTATTCAGAGTATTCACAACAGCTGAAACTAATTCTTTTTATAACAAATATCTTGAAATTATCGGTACTCATGATTCGATTCTTCGTTTCTTCGAAATTCGAAAAAGATTATTTTCAATTATAAACCTGAATCGATACAAACTTTGTGTCAGTAATTATTATTATTATTATTATTATTATTATTATTATTATTATTATTATTATTATTATTATTATTATTATTTCAATCGGAGACGTCATGAATTTAAAGAGACGTGGGCTCGTTAAGAGTCGCGTGGCATCGATCACACGACGTTTTCTATTTTATTTTCACGGCAACTGTCCTGGATACGGGAAAATAACACGATAGGAACGAGCGATTCGAACGCGATATCCATCGATCGGTGAATTCTATGAGAAAATGCATTACACGGCTATCACTACTTGCTACTACTTGTTGGACATTGATCTCTCGTATAGGCACATCACGCGACACGTTGGTTCGCGTATCGCGTTACGCGTTTCATATTTCGACGACGGAAAAAATCACTTTGTATTAATTTTTATTCGAAACGATCACGGCCTCGTTTACACGCCGTCTTACTTCGGCGAAGGCGGCCACCGTGATCGTAATTCTGCGCATTTATTTTTTATCTCGAACATGCCTGGCACTCGATGCTGTTCTAGCGATTCCATTATCGTTAGTCTGCTGGCATTATAGGCGTGTATAAAAACTTGCACATGGTATGCAATAATATGAAACATCAGAAGCGATATACGTGTTATGTTTAATAATTAAAGGCGAAGAAAAATTTTTAATTTGCAAAAAATGTGCGGCTGTGGTTATCGTTGTTTCATATGTACAGCTTCATTTTCGCGTGACAGAACCTGTTTATCCTGAACTAATAATGAGACACCTGTTTGGGTAATTGAACATCGACGTATTGTGATTTATTTTTTTCCATCTGTTGCGTGCAGAACGTATAATTGTATGTCTTTTAAAACCAACACGTCATTCCCTTTTTTACGTCCCACTTCCAACTGCAAGGTCGACAGTAAGTAAAACAAATTGATTTTCGATTGTTTCGATGATCTAATTAATGAAACGTTTACTCTGCTGTGCATGACTGGTCCTAACAATGTTTGAAGCAAATGTTCCTAATTTTTTTTAGAATGTTGTATGGAAAGATTGCTTAAGATCTGGTTTTACGTATAAGTAGAAATCGCATGGATGCAATCACAGTTGTAGGGGGGGACGCGAGTAAATACGAATCATTCGGATGGAACGTTTGAGAGATTCTTAAATAAGTTTTCACCTTGTTTCTTCATGGATTTCGCGATATAACGAGCGCGTTGAACCAGATATTAGCCGATGAAGTTAACGATTTCGCGTTGCGTTCAAATTCTGAAAGCGGGATTCATTAAATTTCTCCACGATTGTTTTATCCAGAGTTCTACGGGAACTTTTATACAATCTGAAACTTCTGACTATCCTCATTGACCCAGTAATCTTCAGTTCTCTGAATATCAAGGAGTAAAATATTCCATTTACAAATAACTGAATCTTTCTCCGATCTGACTTTCAACGAGGCCAAACGAGAATTGTTCGTAAGAATTGCATGTAGCGTTTGACGATGGGCGCAAAGAGACACATCCGTTTCCATCGCAATCCATGTTTCTGTTACGTAACGTTTTACATATGCTGAATTTCTTTTAACTAGAATGCAACAAGGATATTTAAACATCCGGGAAGCCGTGCACGATACATGAGCAATGAGTGCATGCTCTGTCAAATATCATATCAGTGATCGATAACAGTACGTGTCCGGGCTTTTTTAATATCCCGGACATTCCTGGATGATACAATAGCTCGTCTGTAGGTCGACGAAGTCTCGAGAACCGACCCGCTTTCGACATTACAATTTGTATCCTCTTTCCCTCGGTGTCTATCTTTTTTTACTTAGTTATACGCGCATTGTGTAGAAAGAAGCAGCTAACAAGCCCCGGCGCAAGTCTCCGATGAGCGAAAATCTCTTCTTCATTATCAAACTGATTTTCGGATACTCTCCACGTTCGTTCCTATCCGAGAGCATATAATTACCAAGTAATTAACGTTCAAATGAACCAGTATCTTCCGCATCCGGCTTCCCTCCGAATTAGGACATGTCTCTGATGATGTCAAGGATCCTGGAAAGTGTACCACGTAAATTTAAGGAAAAAATTTGCTGAGTATAGATTGAAGTGGTATTTTTATGAAGCCAAGGTCACTGTTGTAATTTCACGCGCGGAACGTGTTTCCGTGCCAGAGATGTCGATTGGCAATAATAGGTAGTGGGAAGCAAACTTACACCGATAATCGTATCGAAGGATATTTTTACTTGACTATTACAATAGGACAAAAAAACGTGGAATATACTCATTCAACGGCCATCGCAAAATCATACAGATATTTTGACGATATCATTAAACAATTTATTGTATGTAATACTGTATATCCTAGGATAATTGCACTTTCGATGACTTTGATATGCGGGACTCGCTGTGTAACGATCGTGAACGTGTAAACCTTTCGAACGTTTAGTGATTCGGGGAATCTCGCGTCGTTATACGTCGACGTAGGGGTATAAATATTTCATTAGAGAAGTTTCGCAAGAACGTTCTATCAATATTCATCACGATTTTTGAAGTGGCTAGAGAATGTCAGCGGACTGATTCGTTTAAAATGGGAACCAAGAGATGAGCAGAAATTTCATTCTCTCAGATTTACGTAGTGCAATTATGGTTCGTAATTAAAGTGGTCTGTGAGAAACAGAAAGCTGCACGCAAAAGGTAAAAACGTATATATATATAGGCAAATAGATTTTTATCGTTGGGGCAGTTAGATAAAAAAGGAAAAGGACGGCGATACGTATTTTCCTGGTCACGTAACTTAATTGCAACATTTGATTGCGATTTTTATTATGATCGTTCAACAATGATTCAACTTTGATAGAAAACTATTTATACTTGTCGTATAGAATTGTGAGAACAAGGAAAAAATTATAATTATTTTTTCTTTGAATCGAAGGATCATTACATAAGACAGGAAGATTTATTTTAAAGTCTAATGAAAGCCGTCCGTAAATTGTTTGTATTATGATAGAAATTCGGTTAAACGTCAAATTATAGTTCGCTTTATAACGAGTTATACGCTCGCATTTTAAAATAGCGTTTCTGGCGCTCAAAGTAAAATATCACGAAATTCTATTCTTAGTGACTGCAGTGAAGGGCGAACTGAATAGTTATCTAAGAAAGATAGTTTTAAGTAATATGCGAAATGCAAACCAGCCAATTTTTCAATTCTTTAAATACCGTAGAATGCATGTCAACGATTTTTTGTCGATGCAAATGAAAATGTATGACGTTTCTACGGTACTAACTCGTTCAGTTGGTTTATCAATGTAATAGCAGAATCAACATTAACTACGATTAGATTATAGTATACAATTACTGAATGATATTTTACTCCACTGATTGTGAGTTTAGCTTTCACTTAGCTAATGTTTGTAATAATTGACATGAGCGAACTGAATTATAGATACGAATGGTGTCTGTCCGAGAATTATTCATATCGTTTATGGAGATTATAAATATTAGCGAACTTTTACTTGAGGATAATTGGCGTTGACTAAATTCGAATTCCCGATGCCGCGAAAGTTCACCTAGAATTTAGGCTGGTGTAACGATTTCACGTCAAATGCGCACGAAACGTTTACCGTGATTATACGACAAGTTGTCAAGGGTAAAAATACTGCAGTACTGCTGCAAAAGTTTGCAGTAGAACCGTGAACGCGTATCGGTGATGTATTAATTACGCTGTCTCTTTCAACGAAAGAAAAGACGTTGACCTCCACCGTACCCTTCCCCTTCCATTTTCTCTTTTTTCCTTGCGAAAAAATTCGCAACTGCTTCAAAGAACTTTTTGACCCGGCGCCAGTAACCACTTGCCAGTTTCAACCCTTTCGTAAATGGTCATTTCTATTGATTTTCCTTGAATCCTCGATCACTATGACCCTTTATAATATTTTCTACTAAATATGTTCGACCAAATCCAATTCCTTTTATATTTACAAGACTCTATCTTCCTTAATTTACTTTCTGAAAAGCGAATGTTATTACAGAAGTCTAATATGATAATTACTAGATCTACTTCTGTCTCATTGGACTATGATGAAATATCTGTAATGCGGTGAGTAAAGCATGCATCGGAATAATTTGACGTGCACTGTTTTCGTTTAATTAAATGCATCCTAGAATACGATGTCCGTGCTGCTATCTATCTCCTGGCCCGTGCGTTCGAAGGAATTGCTTGCCGTGGCGATAGGATGCAGAGGCCAGGCCAGGAGTACTTGTTCGTAAAGACGTGATTTAATCGTGATCGCATGGAACTTCTCGCAGAACTTGATGAAGAGGTGACTGACCATGGTCTCGAGCAGCGTCCTGGCGCATTTAGCGAAATTTCTTGTGACGATTGGCTGCATCAGAGCTATCGGTAATAACTATGACAAAGCGAGCACATGGTCGTTTCGTGGCTTTCAAATTCTGCTTTCGCACTCCGTGCTAGGAGCACTCAGGTTCGGTAAGGATACATTTACCTGACGAACCCGTAATTTTGCATCTTGGCATTCGCCTAGATAGTGTATTTTTAAAGCGGCATTATCTGTACAGGGCCCCCTAATTGTACATCTTATACATATGTTAGTGGGGGTCGGTCAGAGGATTAGTTGGTATGAAACTACGTAAGGGTATTGTATTTGATTTTTAAGTATAAAGGTCAGAACTGGGAGTCGATTTCATAGTCCAGCAGATTTTTATTTTGTTGGAACAGGTGAGAAATAATATATTTCAATGCACTCTCTGAGACTCACAGATATGTTGATCATGGTACTGTCTCTCAGTTCACATTATCTTCATATTCTCACTTGCATGTATAGATCAATTTCTTTTGCATGTGTTACGTTTTGCAATTACTTCTTAGATCCGCATATCGACATTGCAAACAGCGTCTTTGTGCATGGTGCAACGTTTGATCTTCAAAAATATTAGCAAGTGAATAAAATTAATCGTAAGTTTCGCTCCTTCGACTAACTTTTATATCCATTAGAAATTAAAATTTATTTCCAAGCTGCTTATTAGCAATGATATTATTTCTCACTAGTTCCAACTTACGTTTGCTTGGGAATTAATCACAAAGTTTCAGACTAGAGCTAAGATCACCTTTCACTCTCTTCTCTTCCTTATTTGAAAATTTAGGTAGATATAAGTGAATAGTTTTATAGTTCAATGTTATAACACTTTTAGAAACTTTAGGTATACGTAAGAACGTTTGCAGTCTCACTGTTTAAAAACTATTAGATCACGCTATGATACATAGTAAAATAGTAGCACATATAACAGCGGCGTGTTCTCAGAGCAAATTGTTTGTAGCAATGTTGCTTACAGGAGCTCCATTTTTCACATCGTCGACCAATGTAGTGAAATACCTAAGGATCTCCTACAATTGGTACTCGAAGATTGTCGATGTTGTACCATTGGCATTGTTTGCTGCCGGTATCCTGCAGGGATACAAAGTTTGCGAAAAAATTTGGCTTGTAGTATTTTTGCTGGGCATGTTGCCGATATTTTTTCATCTACAGCCAAGACGTAAAGACAGTCGAAGAAGAAGATACCAGTTGTTAATGAACATTACGACCATCCTACAGCTATTGATGATTGCGTTGGTTGGACTAAGATACAGTAATTACAACGTGATCAGTCTAGTAGTCTCGTACATTTTCGAACGTTTTTTCATCGACGAATTCTGTTATTTCTATGACATCCCTAGCACGGACTTAACTCAATACTCTTTATGTTTCGTGGAAATTTTCATGACTCTGACACTGAACGAAGTGTAAATAACGACTGTATATTTTATATTTATTTAAATAAACGATCTTTGCAGTATTCCTGAAATCATTCCTGTTTTCATTTTTCCGAAGACCTAATAACTAGAATTTAAAATACTATAAATGTAGATTTGTATAATATCGACATTAGGTGGCGTATTAGGACGGAATCGTGTACGAAGTGATAAGTATATTGCTTTGAGCTGAGTATTTACAAATTTCTTCTAATATAATAATAATTATTTCAATACGTAATAGAAGAAATGACACAGAATTACAATTATTTAAGCTAAATACACAAATGAACATTTTATTTTGTGTTTATCTGACTCGATTGCAGAGCGTGGCGACTTTTATAATTACAACTGTGACCAATAAAAGTCGTATCCCTGCCACCGGAGTTTCTCGACTTGTGTATACGACTGTGTCCTACGATAATACATACTCAAATTCTTCTTGTTAAAAGCCAATTTTGTGTAGAGAGAACATTTGTTATAATGTTGTTGTGAAAAATTTGAAAAGAGATCGATTCCAATATATCTTCAATACGATCGATGTGAACAGTCTTTGTTTCTTCCGTTTACGCGATTCGGCGAGTAATTATCAAGGAATTAAGTGTGGATCTTCATGAGCACATAATATCTATAAGCGAACTGGGTCAATGAATCGTATCGTGTGATATTTCCCGTTTAACTTTTTCTTCGTACCGTACGAAGAATTCCTCGTTCGTCGTTTCAGTGTTCTTACTCGCGCGTAACGAAACGTGCGAGAAAGTTTCACGCGACGGTGTGAAACAAAGAAACATTTCGAGCAGCTGTTAGTCGTAGATAGGGATCCTTTAAGGATCCCTAATCCCCAGTTGCAGGTCGCAAGTAGTCGAAGTTTCGAAGTGGTCGAAGTTGGACAATGCGAGTAACCGTCAGTGCCATATTTTGGCAAAACGAGTAAAGCGTGGAGCAGTGAGTCCCGATCAGTCCCGATCAAGCGTGAATCTCGTTTGCTTCGAGCAGCTGGCTTGTTCGAATTCGCGAAACAGTGATCCATCGAATCTGTACAAAATGAAATCAGTCACTTCGGTTCCCGAGACGAATTTCCAAAATCTCGGGCGTGACATGGCAGAGCGGCTAGGTTTGGGACCGGAAATTCGTGAACTAAAACTGGGACCAACTTTCACGAACAATAAATCGACGGCCTTCCACACTCTGAAATGTTAGTACAATTTCTTTCACTTTCTTTCGTTATCCTCGCCTTCTTCTTTGATCGTTACTGACATTAACAGTTAGTAATCTTGATATTGATTCCTAAAATTATAGATGATTTCAAACCAGCTAGTGTGGATGTTTCCAAAGTAGCAAAAGTTGACGTTGGAACCAACAACATGATGACAGTTACTGTTCCACATTTAGACGGTGCTGGAATTCCCCACACAGTCTTCAAGGGGAACCAGAGACCCTATCAGAAAGAGTGTGTTCTCATAATTGATAGAGTCACGGGAGAAATTACTTTGGAGAAGCTAACGGCTAATATCCAAGTAAAGAAGACCAGGTGTGTAATACTTTTCAGAAGTTACAACACATCACAACACATATATGTTGCATAATATTTCAGAGCAGAAACCAAGTCTCAATTGCACTTAGGAGTGTCTGGAACAAATAACAGTAACAGGCCTATAACGCCTGTAGAAACAAAGAAGAGCCCTACTCATGGCAGGTCGACTAGCAGAACGAAAGTTACAAGTGGAAGAAAGAGAGAACCCAGCGTACAACTGCATCCAAAACAGTTCAGTCCACTTAGAGTATCTCCTTATCACAACAAGAGCCCACCTACTGCTCCTACCAATAGGTATCTAGCTTATTTTCCTATTGAACATAAATATCAACCTTCAATGAACAAGAAATGCTTCTCAAGAACAACGGTGCTATCAAAATCCCTCACGGCTCGTTTCTCCCCTTTCACTTTGATACTATTCCCCTCTTGCGCCTTCATCATGCTCTCCGCATTCCCCCACGAAATACTAGTCCCCACTACCGAAGTGAGGGATCTTTCATAGCACCACTGCTCAAAAGATGCGAAATAATTCATTGACTATGTAGAGAATAATGTTACAATAATATATTAAGATTTTTTCGTAAATAAGTTATAACACACAGAACTTTAGTTCACCAGTGCAACCATCAGTGGGAGGAACGACTTTGGCTAGTTTGCCGATGATCGGTTCCGACAATGATGATTCCCCTTTGACATTGACTGGATCATTCCCGACTGTCAATTCCGCACCACCAAAGCCGATACCTGTAACTAATACTCTGCCTAATGTGAAACTGAATGTGGCCGGTGACAGTGACATGAGTGCTCTGAGCGATTCCACTTCAAGCAGTTCAGGCTCTGATGATAGTTCGGATAGTGATTCGGATACTAAAACTGATCCAGTTGTTAGCAAAACCAATGGTACGTATCATAAATTATGAAGATTCATGTTATAAAGTATAAATTTGTAGTGAATAATGAATTTGTACGATATATTTTTCAGGACATATGAATAGCACAGCTTCGTCTCCAGCAGTTCTGCCAGAGAATCTTTTGAATGATGATTTGCAATTATCAGAGTCAGAATCGGATAGCGATTAATGATAATGCATACCTGTATTGCTTACAATCCGACAGCATCAGGAACAGTGTTTTTCGCGAGATCTTTCTGAAAAATCGTTTCTGTTAGATTTTGTCCTGCAATTGATTTACTGTGTATAATATTCAGTTATATGTCAGACATCGAGCAATCTGTATAGCGAATTCGAAGCTATGCTCCATATATTCCATATGTATTGCTATATACGTATACAGAAACGTTTTGCTTCTTGTCCATTAAATGTATTAAAAAATAATGAATAATGAATATGAATGATAATGTAGTGTATGTTTGTTTATTTATGAGGTATTGAGGATTGTACAATTTCTATTGACTAATATTTAGTGTAATTATATGAGCCCTTTCGTTCTCTCTAGTTTTCTTTCTTTACTTTCTTACACATCTCGAAAAAATCTTGCCAAAATACTTTGTGTAATTACTTAGAGAAGTAGCAGACGCTTCTCGACAATTTCTTTCTTCCTATTAAATATCTCGTTGGCCTATGCAGCCAATTTATATATACGCATGTAAATGTGTGATGTATTACAAAAAGAAGTTAAAAATGATCGACTGTATTACTTACAAAATATTTATTTAAATGAAATGTGTGAATTTAATAAAATGTTCAATCTTATTACACACGCGTACAATGTATAAAACATTTTTATATCAAATTTTTCTTATTTCATTTAACAACCTATTTTTAATTAGCTAGAATCTTGTACTATATGTATAATCTATACAATAGTATTTAACGCGCGATTCATGTAGCCTTTGACAATACTATATTAAACTTGTCTTGTAAGCGTGATAATCCAGTATCAATCTAGCGAGTTGGCTACGTCGACCTAAATGAAGATTCTTCGACTGCATGCAGACGTTGTGGATATTACTCCAAATATTGGTACAATTAATGTCTTTGTATTTCACTTTGAGGGCCGGTTCCACAGCACGTAAAACGTGCAAATTACTGAAAGAAACGAACATCTCAAACAGAGAGGTATATCCAGCAGGAATATCCTGAGAAAGTTTCAGCAGCGTCGAGATATCTCGATCAGAGTGTATTATTGGAATGCTAGCCTCCACGGTTTTCCTCACTGAAAATAAAAATGAATTTTTAATAATCAGATACAGAACAAGCTTGATGAGTTACCTACTTGCGTTGTAATCCTTGACGTAAAACGCGATATTGTTGAAATTGTATTCATCGTATCGTCCGTGATTTCGATTAATATCCGTTTCAACTTGCTTTACATCGTTCATGTGTACGACATCCGGATGGTATTCCACGAAAGGAATCGGACTGAATATTTGATATTGGTTAATCGTATTCATACGAACCTGAATATTAATTATGTTCTTGGTCAATTTTTTGCATGTATGAATTACGCAGCAGGTGTCCATTTATAGCGCACGTACCCTATTTAAATAATCCAACCGAAGTTGCACACCCATCTCTGCGAAAAGTATCAAACTCTCAGGTGAGAATTTTCTTACACACAAATCCGTAACAGCAATGTTCAACAAGTGATTCGTTTCAATAGCCATTGACGTATTTGGCAGGCGCACGGAAAGCCAAGTAATTTTCGTTTGGTATTTTTTGTACTTTTCAGCAAGTAATAACGCGTATTGCTTAATCTCATGATACGTGTCTCCTTTACCTTTCGAAGCTGAATTATAATTATATAAGAGGACCTATACGAGACCGAAAACTTTAAAGACATATCCTTGACAAAACATTCTCAATTAATGTGAAAATACCAACCACCATTAAAAAAGTTTTGTACTTCTTTTCCATACAATCTACAGCGTACTGCTCTAAGAAATTCAATCCCTCTTGCTTTTTTGTCGAATCTATAGTGAGTATTATATTCACTCTGGTATTCTCAGTTACGTATGGAACCGGCAAGATCTCGACTTTGCCAAGCGGCTTGCACACTTCCATTCTTCTGATCAACGTTTTACCGTCTTTATCCGTAAATTCCAAGTCCAATATATAATCCATTCCCCGAGACGCGTCAAATCTTTGGTATCCGTTCAATAATTTCTTAAATTTTAATTCGTATCGATAATCGGCGATAATACGAGAAGCTGTGATATTAATTGTGCGATCTATGTCGAGTTTCGCATCTGTATTTAATTCTTGTACGGTAGAAAAGTCGGTATTAAAAAATACGTGAGTCTCGTTGAAATAAGTCCATCGTAAAACGTCGAAACGACCAGCGAATTTATTGCCCGGTTGATTGCCAATCGGCCAGGAGACATTGCGCCATTCTGGAGGACCCAAAGGTGCCATACTTATAATTGATCTACGGATATCCGAAATCTTCTCTTGAATTTCCACAGCTTTTGACTGGAATTACAATTACACTTATACGTTTGAAAGTCGATTTTAATTAGATTTCATTGACTCACTGCTGCAAAATAAGTGTTCAGTTTGTAGACGATGAGATGATCGTATATTGGATATATCACAAGTGAATTTAGGAACTCCTCGTTCTTAGCCAAATCCTTTAAGTTTCGTTCGAATAAAAATGTTGGCTGCAACTTGGTGTACAAAAATTTCTGTCCTTGTATACGATCGGAGCAAGACGTTGAAGTAGAGTGAACAATGCATCGTCCAAAATTGATATCGTCCGAATCAGAATATGCATTCTTCACACACCAGTCCAAATTGTTCTTTAATTCTTGTATTACTGAATTGCTTAATAAAATCCCCGAGTCTGAAAATTATTAACAAAGTTATTACATTTAAATCGAATCCTCTTTTGATTAATGTATACTAATTACTTTACCTAATGAACAATAATTTGGAATCTCTCCAGGAACTCCCAAGTGAACATTTTGACTTACACTAATCTTGGTAACAAATCGAACTAATTGCTTAACATTGATGTAGCTTACATCTTTGATTAAGAAATAGTAATCATAATTTTCTAAATAATTATCAATGATATATTTCATGGTATGGAATGGTTTCAAGATGCTTCTCGTGTCTGTGAATCCAACTATACCAGGAAGAGTAACGTTAGGCTTTGTACCTTCTGGTATAGAGATGAAATAACGTACTTTATCAACGATATGAGCTACAGTCTTATTAATTGCTATGTCTCTGCTATACAAGAATTGTTGGCTTGTTATCACTCCTATGAACAATTTTTCTCTGATCCCAAGCTCGGTGGAGTAATATCTCGGACGTATCAGCGTTTTCGAAACTTTTTGAGCCTGTTGCGGTTTATTGTTAATATTTATTTTCGGCTCGTATTCATCCAATTCATCTTGGTAATTTGAGTCTTGCGTTAAATACTCTGTACTATCGTTATAATAGTCAGTATCTACTGGTATCAACATTATACTCAAGCTGAGGCCTATGCTCATTCCAATTATTAAATACATATTCGCCCAACAATGGGACAAAAACATTTTTAATATAGGATTCATGTTTTATAACAATTTGTGTCTATTCTTGGTAACCTGTAACAAGATCTACCATCGAATAAAATTCAAGATTTTCTAATAGTAAATTGTTCATTATTTGTAGCGTTAATCTGTTTGACGAAAGCAATTTTGCAAGCAAGATTCAAAGAGCGATGTCATTATTAATTGATAATATATTTCATTTTTCTGTCTGATAATCCTTAGATATTTATTAGATTCATTCGTTTCCTAAAAAGCGTCATGCACGTAGCAATTTGAAATAAAAGATTTACCATCCGTTATAATAAATAACTAAAAGTTATAAACGAATCTTCTGATGTTTATATATCATTTTCAACAGAGGTTTCCGACAATCAACAGGAATAAATCAGAGAGTTACTTCAGTATCAGATGGCGTTTCTATCCATGTGTTCGATAATTGTTTAAAAACCGAATATTATTTTTTTATAACAAAATGTACTGATGTTGGACGCAAAAATTATTGTAAATCTGTTATTAACTTATTTAAAATGTCAATTGTACATACATAGGTAGATTCGAGATATTTATTAATACTGTAGGTTACACGAGAGAGCTTGTTACAGTCTTGTAATGTATTAAAATTGAAAATTCTAAAGCACCGATATTATGAACACGTTACTAAGAAGAGTAGTCGGTTTGTTAAATAGATCTCCGTTAATTAAAGATCGTCCAAGCGTACAATTAATCTTTGTCAACGATATTCATAACAGTCACCGAATTCTGTACAACAAACATGAAAACAACAGCGAAATCGTACCTTTCTATTTCAATGTTAACAAAAAGGAGAAAGAGACCTTTTTAGAAATCATACGAATATACATGAGAGAAGACAAAAGTCGAAAGGGACAATTGCACTTCATTACGATGGCATTGAAGTACATGGACGAATTTGGTGTGAACAAGGATTTGGAAACGTACAAGGCGATATTCGATATATTTCCAAAAGGAAAATATATTCCAGAGAACAGATTTCAAATCTTGTCATTTCACTATCCGAAGCATCAGAACACAGCTATAGCTATACTCAATAAAATGGAAGATAATTTTGTTTTACCCGATTACGAGATGCAACAAATGATCCTAAACACGTTCGGTGACAAGAATTTAGTTATAAAGAAGTGTTGGACGATGTTTTACTGGTTGCCGAAGTTCGCTGAATTAAATCCGTGGCCTGTTCCTCATCCGACGCCAACAGATCCCAAAGTACTTGCACAAATTGCTATGGAGAAAGTATCTGGTGCAGATCCACAGACTAAACTTACCATGTACAGAACGACGGACGTACCGGATGCGATAGACGATACTTGGATCATGTCTACTATGAGCCAAACGCAACAGGAACTACTTGCTGCTCAGCCAACTGATAAATCATTGATAGTGGAGGGTCCTTTTACAGTTTGGGTCGACAAATACTGTATAGATTATTTTGTATTAAAAGGAGAACCAATTAAGAGAGAAGTCATTTATGGAGAATATGATGGTACATAAATTGAAGTCAGGAATCTAAAGTATGTTACATTACCTAATGATACTGAGAAACATCTCATTTCATTTTCAGATATATCAGATTTGAAAATTCCATTTTGGGAGAGGCACAACTTTAAGATACCTGTTAATGTTCACGAACAGGAAGACGGCGTATATTATGCGATGTGCGCGACGGGCACATCTTCCAAAGATTCTCTTTTATCATGGATAAGATGTTTGCAAAAAACAAATCCAATTTTAGAAAAAATACCAGTGACTTTTAAACTTACATCAATGTTGGACGAAGGACTGTACATCGAAACATCTGATACAAGCTCTAATGTAAAACAAATACCACAGGACACGGATAGAGAGAAATAGTTTATTAATTTATGTAAATAAAGTTGTTTGTACAGTACTGACAATGTATTTTTTAATGAACTTAGTCTTTAGATCCGTGTATATTCACAATGGAATTACGCGTATTAACATATCTGTGATACACATTTATGTGCCAAGCTTTACATGAATATTTGCATGAGTTTTAACTTTTAAACTTCTGCACGCGTAGTGCCCATAGTAAGTTTCCGATCGTTGTACTGTTCAAACATGTTTCTGTAGTTCTTTTAACGCAAAATATAGAATAAATAAACATGTTAATAAACAAATGGGTAAAGGCGAAGGCAGCCTGTTCTAATTTATGGCATTATACAAATTTTAAACGATTCGCTACGCAAATTAAAAATTCTGAAGATATTTTAGAGACGCCTAATTATGAACCCGTAGGTATTCGCTTCATTCAAGCTAAAACCTTCTACTTATAAAATCTATATTTTAATTGACATTTAATTTAGGATAAATTTTACGAGGATATAAAGAAAGCGTACGAATGTACCGTAACTCCTTCTTTGAAGTTATTTTACAATGAACCATTGTTAATCCACAAAGGTCGAGGACAATGGTTGTGGGACCATCGCGGGAAACGGTACTTGGACATGTTCGCCGGAGTTGCTACCGTATCCGTTGGCCACTGTCACCCGTAAGTATATTATAAAACGGAAATAACGTGATTCGAATTTCTAGAAACGAATAGAATATATTGTTTCAGAAAGATAGTAGCTGCAATGTCCGAACAAGCATCAAAGCTGAATCATGTTTCTTCCATTTACATGCACCCTCATTTATACGAATACGCGAACAAGCTGATAAGTAAATTCCAGGGAAAATTGAAAGTGGTGTATTTAACTAACAGTGGATCGGAAGCGAACGAGTTGGCGTTTTTGATGGCGAGGCTGTACACTCGCAATCATACTGTCGTTTCTTTTAAAAATTGCTATCATGGTGCAACGTATGGTACTGTGGCCTCAACGGCGATAAGTACTTGGAGGTATCCATTTATTGTTCAACCCCCTGGATATTTACACGTGAGTTCTCTCAATTAAAATTCTTCTGATACTTGAATATCGAATTATACAAGAACTGAATTACTTCAGGCAGTATATCCCGATTTGTACAAAGGTAGTTGGAGTGGATCAAAGTGCAGAGACTCAGATGTACAAGTTTCTGAAAATAAATGTAACTGTAGAAACGGGGAATGTATAGCTTCAGAGAAATACTTTCAGCAGTTCGAAGAATCATTTCAATTCAGTTTACCACGTACTCATAGTATCGCAGCGTTTGTAGCTGAGAGTATTCAAGGGGTAGGAGGAACGGTTCAATATCCTAAATACTACCTTAAGAAGATATATGATTATGTTCGCGAAAAGGGTGGTGTATGCATAGCCGATGAAGTGCAGACCGGTTTTGGTAGAACGGGGGAGCATTATTGGGGTTTCGAGAGTCACGGCGTGGAACCGGACATAGTCACCTTGGCAAAGGGTATAGGGAACGGATTTCCTCTTGGAGCAGTGATCACTAGTCCTGATATTGCAGCGAGCTTAAACTATGCGTTGCATTTTAATACATTTGGTGGAAATCCTCTTGCCTGCGTCGTGGGATCGACAGTACTCGATGCAAGTATCACTTAATTTAATATATTAATAATTTAGTTACATCGATAAAGGTACATTGCGAGATTTATTTAGATTATAGAAGAAGAGGCTCTGCAACAAAATGCATACACAGTCGGTACTCATTTGATAAATAAATTAGCTAATCTCCGATCAGAATTTCCAAATGTAGTCGGCGACGTTCGAGGCAAGGGTCTCATGATAGGAGTCGAGTTAATTTCGAACCCTGAGACAAAGCAGCCGTTAGAGGCCGAACGCGTGCTTGACATATTCGAAAACATAAAAGATATGGGAGTCCTTGTTGGTAAAGGCGGGTTACATGCAAATGTGAGTTAGGTCGCATATTTATAACATTTAAATGTCTGAATACTGACAATGCTCGATTTGCATAGGTACTAAGAATAAAACCGCCTTTGTGCGTAACTAAAGAAGACGCGGATTTCACATTTACTGTTATCAAAAATGCGTTGGAGATGCACGAAGAAAAATATCGGAATAATTGAAGACAACGGGTAAACGCAACTTTTTTAATTCGGTACAGTCGTTTATGTTACATTTGTAGAATGTAGTTTTCGTCTCGTCTAGCATAAATTAGTCTAGCATGCGAATTATATGATTCTGTACACGGAATTGGTCATTCATAATATGTATAGACAGTAGGAATTATGTACAAACGTTTCTTGTTTAGAACGAGCTATTGTACAATTATGACGGAACCATAAATAATTAATGTGAATATTTTACTTTCAGTCTTACTAGGAAAATGCGGATCAAGTTTACTTTCTGCTGTAAACATTATTATAAATGTTCCCTGGTAATTTTATACAAATGCAGCTATGATTACATACATTTTACAATCATAGATTTTTTATACGCTATGCGTACAATAAGTTAAACATCTACAAGCAAATATGTACACAAAGCAATTTGCTTTTATTAAAGAAATTATGGTTTTTTAATTCTCACATTCAATAGCCTTCATGTTCCGCATGTTCGGTGAGTCTGTGTAAATCAATTTTTCGGAAGACCCGCTTACAATGTATAAACAAATAAATATAAAGCTGTTAATAACTGGCACGTAAAAATTTGTACATGTTAAGAAATATAAATGCACACGAATCATTTAAATGAAAGAAGACTTTTTTATATGCAAGAAATGAGATTTGGCACGAAACAGTTTTTTCGAACAAAACACGTGTGTGATACGAAATTTGATTAATAAATACTGGTATTAAAAAATATTAGTACTCTCAACGTAGTATTAGATGAACAAGATGATTACGTTATCATCCTCGCAAGCAATGAAAAGAGAGCTCTTTGAAAATATTAGGTACGGAGCATGCAGGTATGATCGCGAGATTCTTTTAAGCAATTAAATTTGTCAGAACTATCTTAGAATCGGGTAACGTGTCTAAGAGATAATGAGAAGTATCGGCCATGGAGGCAAGGTCAGCCTCTAATAACGCCAACTGAAGCTCTCTTCGTGCTTTCTGCACGACGTATACCATCAACGAAATGCCTATTAGAATCTGTAACAATAGTACATCTTATTTTAATAGAGTATAAGATTAAACTGAATTTTTTATAACGAAACATACCTGAAAGCAGAAGACAATATAACCAGTTGCCGCTGTCGATTTGTCTTCGAGGACATCTTGCATAGATCTTAAGCTACTGCCTAAATATATATTGATGATTTGTGCAGGCAGCAGGCCTATTGCACTCGCTATATGGTATTGAATACCACCCATATTGCTTACCTAAATAATTATACACGTCAGTACTGTTATATAATTAATAAATGATACAGAGGTAAAATTATACATACAGCAAAGATAGTATTTTGTAAACCAAAGGGGATGGGAGTTAATCTTGTGAACAGCACAACCTTGAAGGCTTGTGGTCCAGATATGACCCTAAGTATTGCTCTTGCAGTATCATTTTTCAGAAGAGCTCCAATAGGCAACTTGGAGGATAACGCACTAAGTGTGACATGAGCTATTGCTATTCCCAAATTGGCAGACAACACCACCATGACTATACCTCTTAATATACCAAAGAGATAGCCGCTTGCAATGATAAGAAATAGATAGCCAATCACTATGGGGAATGAAACCACAGTGAAAAGTGCAATAAATATTACAGTAACAATCCAGGCATTCTGATGCTCAATCCAATAGAGCAAGACTTTAATGTAATCTCTACAGATGAAGACTATTGCACCCAGGAGAGCCAGGGTGGCGATCGTTACGACAACATAGCATACTGAATTTGAATGAATGCAATTGCATTGAATTGGAGCAGAATTCTTGGACGGACGGACACCAGTTTCTACATCTTCTATGTTAATTATATCCATATTTATTCCTCATTATGCACAAGGAGAAGATCATTCAACGACCATCCTTTTGCTATGACCTATCGGCAAAATATTAAACACTGTCAGATACATGTTCGTGTGGTTGTTCTTAATATAAAATATATTTTCTTCTTATCAATTGTACTTATGCCCTATATATAATGGTACAAAGAAAAAATACTAGATTTTGTATAACCGCATGTCCTATTTGTAAGTTTTCATTTATGTATCATCAATTACACTATAATTAAATGTGTACTATTGAACATAAATCATACGAATTAATTGCACGCTGCGCTTAAAAAATCAAAATTATCCTATTTACATATAGACAACGATTTGTTTAAACGCCTATAAAATGCAAAACCACATTTCTTCGCTGTAACATGATATCAACTGAACGTTATTGTATAATGCTATTGATCACAAAACTGGAATACGACGAACAATGCGAATTTAAATTTATTTTTACCTCGTAACGCTATTACGGTAAAAAATTTTGTATATCACAGATTTCTTTACTTCTTCCATCACTGTCATACACACGACGCATTAAGTTTTATCTCCTTTATTTTCCTCTCCTCAAATTCCTCCGAGCAATACGATGTCTTTATTAAGTAATAAGGAAAATGAAAATACACATTGCCTAAGCTCATGAAACATAATAATAATAATTGAAATCCGTTTATGACTTATGACTCTCGCTGCGTGAATTAGCTTAGATCCTCGAAAATCGTTCAAGGCGAGTGTGCAATATAGGTTTTGGAGGGAAAATTACGGAAAACTATACGGGAAAACAGAATTTTATTTTATATAAATCAAGATTGACCGTATAAGTTGAGATTCCGAGTTCACAGACTTTCAGATATTGTCTTTATTATTTATATTACATACATTTTTGTTTAAGTGATTGTCAAATAAATTTTTCTTGAGAAATGTGCATTATTATTATTGTGAAGAAGTGCCCACTCTCAATCTTCAATTAAATGTAATAATATTTTAATTGAAATTAATGTTCCTCTTGCTTAATTTCCATTTTTTTCTTTTAATACACCTTTTTACTTGTGTTTTTTGAGACCATCGCGCAAATCCCCAAATTTAGAACAAGATATCGTGGAGCGTTGATTAAAGAAAAGGAGTTAGTCGTAGGCTTCTAAAACCGATATTAAGATGTTATTCTTAATATTAAGGACAGATCGGTTAGGTTTCATTTAGAAAGTGATAGGGCCCAGGAAAGTAATATTTCCAGTTGCACACTTGTCAACCTTGTTTGCGGTGGCCGCGTCGTTATGGCGGTATAAGGATTTTTTCAATGTTACAGGTGCGAGCAGGTGTAAACCGAAAAACAGAATGATCATTTATCTGTTCGTTCGCGGTAAATAATCGTCGATTTATTTAGACGTTATTCCACGTTTGACAACGATTTTGCGTTTTTTCCAACGGTTTTTCCCGTGTCAATGTCGACACGCGTTGCGTCCGAATCGTATGCGTGATGGTGATTGTTGACAGGATGATCGTCGAAAAAATTTTGCAATTGGGACTGGTCCTGACGGTGTTGGTGAATTTGCATATTTCGGCCGACGAGAATTCGAATGCTAATGCGAAATGTCAGTTCGGCAAAACCCTCAGGAAGCAGGTGAACGCCGAGCCTCTAAACGGCACCTGTTTGCGAGACATAGTGATGCGATTATCAAGCGAATTTCGGTCTATTACCGACGGTGAACTTGGCCTGAAGCCTTTTCAGAAGATGCTCGGCGAAATGGAGTTTGTGAACGTCTCCAGTAGTTTGAACATGAAGCTTAGCTTGTTGGTAGACAAGCTGAACAACAAGTTGTTGTCTTACGCGGACCTCTTGAAGCACAGTTATGAGATTATACTGCCAATTTTAATGAAAACTGAGAATCAGTTTGATCTTTCTACGTCTGGCAATGGATTAGATTCTATTTCGAACGGACTAGCCGATTTATGTTCTCAGGTTGCTCAAGGTATGTTAAACAACTTAGTAAGCAGTAGTTTGATGTACAATGCAATTTTCTGTGTTACAGAATTGGCAGTTCATTTGAGGAGCCAGGAGTGGAAGAATTTACACCTATTGTCTTTCAAGTATCCAGTTACTGTGTGTGGCCCACCGAGTGCAGGCCACAATATTGGGCCACTTTTATTGTCTCAATATTGTCCAAAAAAGAATGTATTATTGTTACTTGAGCATGCAGCTTTTATGTCTGAAGGGGATATTACTTTGGCCCAAATAACTGCAGAGACAATAATTGATATGTTGCCTCAGACAGATTATATCAATGTTATTGGACTTTCTACTAATAGTTCCATTCATTGCAAGGATGGTTTATTGAAGGCTACAGATGTAAATAAATTCCAATTAGTGCGATACATTCATAGTTTAATCAGAACAGGTACAGTCCTTTCGTGTGCTATAAAAAATTATATTTCTTCGCTCATACGATCCTTCTACAAATTTCAGAAACAAATGACACGGTCGAAATTGATTTTAATAAGTTATTACAAAAAGTGAAGGGCGAAATAGTGTTCATACATTTGACTAATGCTCTTAAATCTAGTTTACATTTAGAAAAGATAAGAAACTTAATTTCCTCGCGGGAAGTGAAAGGCTATATCAGAACGATATTAATTCTTTCAGGTGAGTTCAAATATCTTTAATTATTTACAGTAATATTAATATAACGTTCCTGTTTGTAGATCAAGAAGCACACTCCAATGATAAAGGGTACGATGAAAACGTTGTGACTCTCCCAACGCCAAACATACTCGGTTTTGAGATATCAAAATTATTCTCTGCTTTAAAATGTTCCGAGGAGAACAAAAAGGATCACTATCTCTCCGATCCGTATTTCGACTTGTACACCAAAACGATGACTTTATCTATCGGACAGATCACAGACAAAGCATTGATATCCTTAGATGTCAAACTCCGAAATTTTCTCGACGATATAACGTACTTCAATTCTGGGACAGGCGCGTATGCTGTGTTATTCGATGACAAGGGCATAGTTTGGATTCACAAGAATTTCCCACGGATGGAAACATTGATGGATCAACCACTGAGAGTTAATTTACATCATATAGAGAATCTCAGTCCCGAAATAGTTAAAACGATGATCGAGGAACACGAAGGTGTGATGAACGTGAAAACGCGATTAGGGGAGAAGAAATGGTATCGTTGGAAACATTTAACTTATACAGATCTGATAGTATGCTTGATATCGACCGCTAACGATAGCGTTCTGCCCGTTGCAAAATTAGTGCCGACGTTGTCGATGAACATTTTGCATCATCGCCTAGATCTGCTGATGCACAGTATCACCGATAAAAGTATCCTGTGCACTTACCACAATAAACTGTTGTCCCTGTCAACTGGAGTAGTATATCTTTCTCCCTGGTGCTTTCAATCTCCCATGGAGCAACTGAAACTATTAGAAACCGGGACTGCTGTAACGATGCAAAGTTACATGGCGTACTTAAAAGATTTAACAGGGTTACTAGCTAATCCTGGACTGCATCAAGCAGTCAGGCCAGACGTGGCTATGCTGACTCAAATATTGGGTTTCTTTAAAGGCAGGCACATAGAAAGTGCTTTAAATAAATTTATAATAAGACGATATATCGTTGGAACCGTGAGCGGAGTTCTGGAAATATATCCAGGAATCATGCTCGATTCAGGTTTCGATCCTAAAAGACGAATATGGTACGAAAAAGCGTTGGAACATCCCGGGAAATTAGTTTTTACTCCTCCATATTTAGGAGCTGGAGGTTCTGGATACGTTGTTACTCTGAGTCATACTATTCATCGGAATTCGGACTCAAAGACGAAGGATGATGCTATCGCGGTCGTGTCCATGGACGTAGCTCTAGGATTCGTCTCGCGACTTTTGAAAGAACTGTTCCCGTTCTGCAATAACTCAACAGTGAAATGTTTCCTGATGGACGACAAAGGCTACCTAGTCTCGCACCCAGCATTGTTACAACCGATCGGCAAGATCGAGCAACAGCATTTAACGCACAAGGAATTGTTAGTAGCAAACGACATACTAAATCATGAACTGTTCGTTAAAAAGAAAGCGTGCGCGAATTATCTGGACGGTACCGTGCAGAGGTATTACCAGTTTAATACGTCGCTCGACGAGGTCCTCACTAACATCGTTCACGGCGAACACTGTGTCAAATATCAAGTGGCGGCTGTGCCTGAAACGAACGTTTTCCTGGGCGTAGTTAACGTGACTTGCAATTTATTGAGCGCCTTTTGCCCGTGCAGTACCATGGATCGCTCTTGTTTAAATTGTAAAAGAATGGAGCAGACCGACTGCGAATGTCCGTGCGAATGTTCCTTGTACTATTCGAATTGCGGCGAGTATAGCGCAAGCGAGATGAACGATCTTGAACCTTGTCCAGTGTCGCACGAGCAAGGAGGAAACACACAAATGTCTTGGATAGAATCCACGAACTTAAAGACATGTCCGTCCATCGATTGTAGGATATTCAAGACGGAGAATGAATGTCTTGGAGTTGTTGGTTGTCAATGGTGCCACGTGGACAGCGACGGAGAGACGCCGTTACGAGCTCCCTTTTGTAACGATATGTCTCGATGCTTTAGAGGAATTCTTGGATCGTACATGCCGCTGAGCGATGGCACATACAGTGAGTAATCCCTTTTAATTCAATTGTATTCTTTTATAATGTTGCTACATGCTTGTGTTTTCAGATTCTCAATCGACAGAAGAGATTGCAGCGCGTGAATGGCCATCGGTTGGCACGGTAGCCGGTGTGATATTAGCATTTCTTCTGATACTCGGATTAATGCTATTTTGCTACAGACTTCGATCTGTTCAGTCTGGGTTGGAGCATCAGTGTCTGCATATTCACACATCGCCAGATATGTTGCGTATGACGCATTTAGAGGGTGACGTGGAGCCGATGGAGATGGAGCAAACGAAAAATAATCTGGACTCTCTTATAAGGGAGGGTATAACTCCAATTTCGCCATATAAGGTCACTTCGAATTATAGAAAACCGCCGGGGGGTGATAGCGATCATGGATACAGCACGATGACGCCCCATGATGACTCTGAGCAACAAACGTTCGTTGAACCGTTGCTAGTTGTTGGCAATAATACTGAACCGGATCTTAGAAGACGATCCGCCTGTCTTCCGTCCCCGATTACTCATTTAGGATCACCGCATCACGTCTTGGCACCAGTTACCGTTCATTGCAACATGGAGGCAAACTTTTGTTAATTGTATACGAGCAGCGACAAGACAAATTTCGTCCAAGAATCGTTCCTTTAGGAATATAACGAATATTCGCTCGAAGAAAATTTTTCAACTCGTCGAGTTCTTTTTTTTTATAAATACTATGTTTTGTACAAGCTATATAGTGATATATAGATATATACGTAATAATAAGTTAAGGGAAATCATACTTAAATGAAATCCAACTGCTGCAGCTGGTATAAGTTTTGATACCGTTTTACAATGCAACAAATGTAAATGTGTTCCGATACTACTTAAAACGATGATATATTTTTTTATATGAGCCGAAAACAAACTGTGCAATTAATTCATTTCGAAAATCGACTAACGCAATAGTGAAATAATATTCTCCACAGCTTGTTTTCATTATATATTTTTCAACAAATGGATATCGTACGTGTAACTATTTATATATCGCGTAAGTGTAAGCTAATTAGAGTTAAGACTTTTGAAATAGGATTTATTGATCGATATAAATTCGCATAATCAGTAGATATTTACACTTTTATACACGATGATACTTTTTGGAGATGGTGTACAGCGATTTCAACAACACAAAATAACGATGTGAACTCTTTGTGGACAGAAGAGTCGCCTCTCTGTTATTTACATGTCATACGTATATATATGATAGATATTATATGACTGACTGCCTAACATTTTATCTTGCCAATACTACATCATTGAACAAAATGCGATTAACGAATGTCTTACTATTTTTGTAATTTGTAAATGTAGAAAGACTAATTTTTGAATACTTTACACGTTGATCAGTATTTTAATTGTAAAAGTATATAACTGCCGTTAAAAAAAAAGTTAAATTTTATTGCTATAACAGGAAAATACAAAACTCATTAAAACCACTGGTTTATTCATTCTTCCTTTTATGTTTGTAAAAAAGACCAATTAATTGTAGATCATATATACTGTGGATGAGTTTCTCAATTAAACTTTGTTGCGTACACGAGATAGTTTTCATTACATTTTATACTAAGACTTACATGTCTTACACTCGATTGTTTTATAATTAAGGTATAAAGTCCGGATTTTTCCTTAAGATTACGAAGCCTTCCATGATGGGTGTTAAAGGAATATATTCTTCGGTCGCGAGTTCCGCTCTTTCGCCGTACGCCAATAGAACGGGAGTAGTGTGCGTTTGGAAACCCGTGATGGTCTTCGGTTTTCCAGCTTGACCCACGACGTCCACGGCCAGACCGACTCTCACCGGTACAGCCAGAGGATTTAACATCTCGTCGAAAGTTACTAACATCCTTGGTTGCATAGCCAACGCCAACGTATATAAGAGATAATGGGATCGACCCAAAATGACTGAAAACAAGAGATTGCAATTGTACACTTCGTACATTATTTTAGTATTTTAAAATCGTATGGATACTTACTGTTTTTCACATCTAAGAAACCAATTAACGTTGCCAAAAGTCCAGCGAGCGCTACGGGGCTTAGAACTTGTCTATCACTATGGTAGGGAGACAAAGTCAAAGTTCCTTTACCAAGGTGTGTCAAGCCCTGTGCTATGCGAACCATAAACAAGTTGTTCGGATCCTTCGCATGGAACTGTGCGAGCTGTCTAAGCATCGCAGCCAATCTCGCGTTGTTCGTTCCAGCTCCCACCAAGCCCATCGCAAAGATCGCATTATGCGCCACTTCTGGATCACTGTCATGGGAGAATTTGGATAATGTGTCGAGTATATTCAATTTCGGATTAGAGACGGATATAAGTCCAAGTGCAAGAGGCACAGATCGTCGAATGACGGGCTCGCAGTAGCGCAATAGATGTCCAAACGTTCTGTACGCCATTTCAGCACCAATCTCCTCTCCCATAGCAATGAGGGCGATACCAAGTACAGCGATGGCTTGCTTGGAGCTCAGGTCTTTCGGTTTGTCTTCCTTCTTCTCTTCCTTCTTGTCCTTATCCTTACGATCGCTCTTGTCTTCCTTCTCATTCGACGGCTCGTAATGTTCAGAGCAAATATGTAACAAATGCTGAATCTTCAAAACGTTTCCCGTACCAGCGTACGCGCACACTTCTACCAGAGTCGTGGACATCGATTTGAACGGTTCAGGTACTATCTCCAGAGCTGCTATAATAGCATCTGCAGCTTCCTGTTTCCCTAAGAAACATAATCCAAGACCCAGCGGCAGGAATCGGGCATACGTGTCTTTCAGATCGGATTCCGACTTCTCCATGAGAGTATGCATTATCGTGGTTGTTACGTAGGCATTGCAAGAGCCCACTGCGACCATTCCAAGCGCGAGGCCAGCCATGCCTATGACTTCCCAGCTGGATTTCGGGTCACTGAGCACAGGAATCAGAAGACCGTACACGGCTTCGCGGTTTGAACCAGCGTACGCCAGTCCCAGACCGACTATCGCACCGATTCTCATTGTGTTACGGTTGTGTAATACATAATCAGACAGAAGGGCCAACGCAGGATCGCATTCCATCCTTACGCGACAGTTGACCAAGCCACAGGCCAACAGCGCGCCAGATTTGATGTAATCCTCGGAGGAGTAAAGATATTTATCGATAGGTGTCAAACCACCGTCGACATCCCATAAAAGTACAAGACCGAGAGAAGCTGTTGCACTCAACATTCCATGCTCCTTGTTCTTGTACAACCATTTGTTCCCGTCCTCGAGTAATAATTTATCCTGGCCAAAAGCTGCATTCACGAAACCGTTCACGAAGCTCGCGGCTAGATTCTGTCTCGCAGAATCCACTTGACCGCTGGCGAACGGGGACCTGGAGTTCTCCAAGTGCGATTTGTACACGTCTTCCGGTGTCTTCGGTTCCATTATGTCCAATTCGTGCGCGAGGTTCAAGAAGTGGTAGTTTAACAAAGAGTTAGACATTATTTCTACGAGATCGTCGTACTCTGGGATCGATTCCGGAAGTTCCAGGAAGATCTGTTGCCTGCCCAGCATAAATGCTAATTGTTTCTGCACCGAAAGATCCGAGCAGTTCGTAAATATGGATTCGATGAGTTGCAAATCGTTTAACTGCATCGCCAATCTCACAGCTTGAGGATATTGGCCGAACTTCCTATACAAGTTGGCAGCAGCATAAAGCAATGTACTGTTCTCTGGATCTGCCACGTAGGGTACACAGCTTGTTAGATACAGGCAAACTCTTTGATATGCACTTTCATCTACATATTGTTCTAGCAGGTTTAATCTTTCGATTTCCATTAGCAGATCACAGGCTTCTGTCTCGGCATTGTGAGCCATGTTATAAGGTACAATTTCATGCACCAAGGCTATCAGTTTCTTACTGGTAGCTTCTGCATCATCTGTTAGCTCATCCCATTCAGCAGACAATTGCGTCGATAAATGCCTGACATATTCATGTCCCCATTCTCCTATGGCTAAGGCTGATCCAGTCAGCCTGAACTTGAGACATTCTCTGCCTTCACCCATAGTCATTGCAAGGACAGAAATTACGTCAGAACATAATTCCTTCGATTTTACGTCTGTTATCTTGTCATAAATAGCTTTCATGGAATCATAGTGAGGTCTCATGAATTTCAATGGTTTTGGAACACTGGTCATAGAAGTAGTCGAAGCACGAATATGATTACGTAGGGAATCTAAAGCTGGGTAATGCAAATTGGTATTGGGATCTTGCAAGCGTTCAACAAGATTTGTTAATTCTTCTTGCAAGATTTTATCTTCCTCAGACTGAAAGACAAGAATGATTAAAATGCTAGAGACTCATTTATACATATTAAGATAGTAATAATTGCGCATTCTATTTTCATTGTTGAGAGGTGCGTTTTGATATCCTTTGACAAAAATCGAACTTACCAATTCATTTTTCTCTTCTTCCTTCCCACTTCTCACTTCTTTATTATCCTTCTTCTCTACTTTCACGCTCTCTGGCATTTTGACTCAGTTATCGTATAAAACGACGATGGAATAGAAAATTTAATACTCGTTTCAATACTACTTGCCACTTAGGTTAAAGTAAATGTATTTCCTACTTAGCATTTGCGAGTCACCGCGATCACCGTCAGTATAGATCAACAAGGCGATCCCACACGAATATGGTTTAATGTAGAATTTCAATAGTTTGTGGTGCAATGCAAACGCCAGCGCCAGCAAACCCTGCAATTCGCAACCGCTCCGCTTCCCTGACGCTTCTCTAGAACCAAAGTGGTGATTTGGTAGAAGATTGAAAGGGTTAGGTGCTTCAACGATGTTTCATTACAGTTAAACAAATTATATTGATGTTAATTAAGTGATTATAAAAAACTTTACCCATTGACATATCGAAAAACTGAAAAATGAGTCGCAGAAGAGTTCACGAAGAGGAAGATGGATATGGTAAGCCTTCGATTCTCTTCTACTGAATCAAACATTTGGCATTTCAAAGGATAGGAGAGACTTTTGTTTTATATTCTTAACAAAAAATGATGTCTATTTGTATGAATTTTTAGAACGAGCGTACAAGAAACGTAGAAGGGTATCAGAGAATCAGGAGATCGAGGACCGGCTCGAGTCTCTCATTCTAAGAGTAGGAGAGAAATCTACGTCGTCTCTGGAAAGCAATCTTGAAGGCTTAGCTTCAGTATTAGAAGCTGATCTCGGATTGTTTCGCAGTAAAATACTTAGAATCTTGACAGAGTGTGCAATCAAAATGCCAGAGAAATGTACAATTTATACCACTCTCGTTGGTTTGCTGAACGCTAAGAACTTCAATTTTGGTGGTGAATTTGTTGACTATATGGTAAAGAATTTCAAGGATGCATTGAAAGGATGTAGATGGGACGTAGCCAGATATTCACTAAGATTCTTGGCAGATTTAGCGAACTGTTATGTTTTGTCTTGTGGATCGTTGATGCAACTATTTGACAATATGTTAGATGCTGCCAATGAAGATGGTGTACCTCAAGTTAGGCGCGATTGGTAAATGAAAGAGATATACATTATCCTATTTCTACAAATAAATATTCCATCTGTCTATGACACAATTTATTATAGGTATGTGTATGCTGTGTTGTCGACATTACCATGGGTCGGAAGAGAACTGTATGAGAAAAAAGAACAAGAGTTGGATCGTTTAATGGTCACTATAGAAATATTTTTAAACAAAAGAAGCAAAAAACACCAGCCAGCCTTAAGAGTATGGTCGAGTGATACTCCCCATCCCCAAGAAGAGTATTTAGATTGTTTATGGGCACAAGTGAGAAAACTTAGACAAGATAATTGGGCAGAGAAACATATTCCTCGACCATACCTCGCGTTTGACTCAATTTTATGCGAGGCATTGCAACACAATTTGCCCACTATAATGCCACCGCCGCATCACGAGTCTTACTCTTACCCATTGCCTACGGTGGTTTTCCGCATGTTCGATTACACCGATTGCCCGGCTGAAGGTCCATTGTTACCTGGAAGCCACGCTATCGAACGATTCCTCATAGAAGAACATCTCAGACAAATCATCAACAACTATTTTTTCGAGAGGAAAGATTGGTATGCACTTTTTTCCTATTTTCTCGTGAACGTGAAACTAACGATAAATTGTTCATATAATAAATTACAGCGCTGCTCAACTGTTGAACTTTCCGTACAAAGCGAAGATACCATTAGACTACTGTATTGTCGAAGTAATATTTGGCGAATTATTCAGGCTACCGGCACCAAAGAATTTAGAGATCTGTTACGGATCAATTTTGATTGAGCTTTGTAAATTGCAACCATCGACGATGCCACAAGTGTTGGCTCAGGCGACAGAGATCTTGTTCCGTCGCATAGATAGCATGGCTGCCGCTGCTTTCGATCGTTTCGTGTGGTGGTTCGCGTATCATTTGAGCAACTTCCAGTTCCGTTGGTCTTGGGAGGACTGGGATTCGTGTCTGCAACGCGATCCGGAACATCCGCGTCCAAAATTTATTCGGGAAGTACTCTTGAAAGCTTTACGTTTGTCGTACTACCAGAGGATACGTGATATGATGCCGGAATCTTATGTTGAACTGATCCCCGCGCCTCCGGAGCCTATTTACAAATACTCATCGGAGGGAGCCAGTTCTCTTCCGGGTACAGCGGCAGCTCACGAGTTAGTTGTGTCGATCAGGAGGAAATGTACGCCAGAAGAAGTGCTGAACGTATTGAATACGTTACCAGGTCCGAAGGAGAACGAAGAAACGAACAATTTCAACCCATTGAAAATTGATGTTTTTGTACAAACGTTACTGAACTTAGGCTCGAAAAGTTTTAGTCATAGTTTCGCGGCAATAGGGAAGTTCCATTATGTTTTTCAAGTCCTTGCCGAAACCGAGGAGGCTCAGATATGCATACTGAGAAATATGTACGCCTTGTGGAAGAATCATTATCAAATGATGGTGGTCCTCACTGACAAATTCTTGAAGACGGGAATCATCGAATGCAGTGCCATTGCGAATTGGATATTCTCGAAGGAGATGGCATCCGAATTTACTAAATTATATATTTGGGAAATTCTTCATTTAACGATACGAAAGAAAAATAAACATGTGACGAAGTTGAGTACAGAATTAGCGGAAGCACGTGAGAAGTTGAGAAGAGCGGAGAGTAGATCGGGATCATCGTCGGAGGATGAAGATAATAATAAAGACAGAAACAGGGAAAAACCATCGGAAGATGTTATAGAGAGAATGGAGGAAAAGCTGGAAACTGCTCAAGCGGACCAGAAAAATTTATTCCTAATCATCTTTCAGGTATGAGACAACAATCTTATCATTAGTGTTGGAAATGTAATTAATGTGTATTTTTTTATAGCGTTTTATAATGATCTTATCGGAGCACTTAGGACGCTGCGATACCGATGGTATAGACTATAATACTCATTGGTACAAATGGACTATAGGTAGATTGCAACAAGTATTTCTGACTGTGAGTGTTTGATTAAAATATTAAAGTCTTTCCTTGTTCTTACTTTCTGTCACTTCTAATATCAATTCATTTACAGCATCATGAACAAGTTCAAAAATATTCGTCAACATTAGAGACTTTACTTTTCACACCGGATTTGGATCCTCACATCCTGGATGTTTTCCATCAATTCGTTTCTCTACGAGCGTGAACACAGTGGTTCATGGTAATAATTTTATTACGTAAAATTCCAAAAAAGAGAGGTTTTTAAAACTTTTACGTGAGCATCCTTGAACGTCTCGTATGTGATGTATGAGATACAACTGCAAGAATAATTTGATTTCTATGACAGTATGTATTATGTATTATGCATTATGTACATGTAAATGTTTGAACAAATTTTGTATCACGATTTAAACTCGTTGATGTAAATATCGACATATTTATCCACCCTTTTGTTTTCATCAAAGCATTGCAGTATAAAACAGGTGAAGAGCATAATATAATGTAAATAAAAATTTGAAGAATGATCTTGTGACTTTGAAATGCATTCTTTCCCATGTAGATTTTTAAGCAGAATAAGATGTTTACGGTATCCATTTGCACGCATCATCTCCTTGGTGTAAGCATTTACCGATTTTTCCGTTGCCGATTATCACCTCTTTTCCGTGGTAATCGGCACCACCAAAGAAGCTTATCAAGTATCTCCTCGGTGGGCAAGAAAAAGCTGGAGGCAGCACTAGTATTGGGAACGCGCAAAACCTGACCGTGAGGTTAGGTGTAGCTTCATCAAGCAGTTACTAGCTCGCGTTCTTCACGATCTTGTGGTGGGCAGGAGTTTCTGCTCGTAGTATAAAGTTTATGGTCGCGATTGTCTGGTTGCGTATAGTTTATGCGAGATGCACACAAATAATCGGTGCGTCCAGCGATTATCGGTGAATAATAAAAAAAGTATCGTTGTATCGCGTTTACCGTGAGGTTTGATTGATACTAATTTTTCTCAATCGAGTGAATTTTCTTCCTTCGATGCTGGCCACGGTTAGGCCGAGTGTGTGTGGTCGCAGTAATCATGAATAAGAGGATCGTAAACGCGAAACTGTCCGAGTATCATGAACATAGTAACAGTGTAATTTAGAAATGGAAAATTAAATTAAGGCATACATAACAGTGGACAAATGAATTTTTACGGTTCGTTTGTTTTTGTGTATACGATCGGGTGACTGTTGTCGCGTGTCTCGAACGTGCAGCAAAACCGTTTTCCGAACGCAGAACTCAGCATGGTGATACGGTAAATAGTCCATCGTTTCTGGATGCCTAGGTTAATTAACGTTGTTTGTACTTCGCGATTCTCATGATTCGATCGTGCTAGCCGTTAGCGATTTATTTTTTTCGGTGATTTTCGATTCGCTTCTCGACCAAACGAACATTTATCCGGATCATTATTATTAATTTTTCTTTGGAGGAAAACCTGAGTTTCTACTTCTTAAGGAACTTCAGCGAAGTTCAATATTTATTTCAGGACGTTTTTACATGGATTAAGTTGATCGGAATTTATTTTGTTTGTTGTCGATTCGCCGTTGCTATACGCGGTGCAATATGATAAAGGAAAGTTGAATAAATAATTGATAGCGTCTGTTTGATGAATGATAAATGCACAATAAATATTTTTATGTTTCACAAAGAGCGTCTTGTTATTTTTTCCAGAAAAAGAGAAAAACACAACTGTATGTACCATGTTATACGTAGATGTGCTAATTGTAATATTATGGTTGTGATTTGCATTGCATACGATTAAGTGAATAATACTTGTAACGTATATTCGGAAATTTTCGTGGAACAATGACAAATAAATTAGATTTAAGTTTTATTCATACCGAGACAATGTAATCGAATATTATCTTATTTAAATGAGAAGCATGTATCATTTAAATAAATACTTCTGAGAAAATTATGCATGCATCGATGTTAAGTTTTATATTATATGTAATTGATATATTATATTATCAATGGTTGCAGTATTTAGATAAAATAAAAGCAATGAACTGTTCGATCAGTCCATTAAAATAAGATTAACAATAACTATGCTAATTAAATAATGTCTAATTTGCCCCCTCAGAAGACACTGTCCTGTCTTTTGTTTTGTGCTACGTTAACAATTGACAATACTTGTAATAATTGATTTATATTGTAAGAATATATTTTTTATGAGAAAAAGGAATACTTTATGTTATTTATAGGAACAGACAGTTTTTTTTATAATCTTACAATATTTTAAGTTGTTTCGTAAGCTGCATTTCCCATCAATTTTTTGCTGATAACGATTAGTGATTAGCAAGCTCAAGGTAAAAATATTTTTGTTACGAAATAAGACTTACGAAACAACTTGGTATTAATTATTGAAAGTTAAATTGATTTTAACATTAAAATAATAAATCCATTCTTGGTTCAATCGTAATGTCGTTTGTATTGAAGAAGCGAAAAAATTTGATTAAATCTAGGAGAATGCTGAAACCTAGCGTAATCTACCGATCCTCATTACACCGAAATATTTCTTATTACAGATTATAATTACCAATTCACAGCATCCCATGTTGCACTTGCTCATGTATGCTACGCTTCGCAAAGATACTTAAGACTGTCTGTCCTTATGAGTATCTTTTGAAGTACAGTGGAAGTAGTAATCTGTAAAATTTTACTGAAAGGAGGATGCCAGTAACTAAACGTATTCCATGCCCTTCGCGGTAAGTAAGTGGTTTACGTATTACATAACTCTAGGACAAGAAAAGAATGAACGATCCACGAATAGGTGACCTAACATTCTGCCTTCGAGTTCATTTTTGAATCTCTCCTTTTTTCCGATTCGAATCTTTTAAATACATAGTTGTAAGTATGCATCGTGATCTCGAAAACGAAATACTTTGTTATTTCTATCGCTTTAACGAGTCTAGCCTCTGAATTACAATGATTATGTTACTGACATCCACCTTGAAACTACGAACCACCAATTATTATTTTTTTTTTAGTCCACGGATGATTGATAATTACAATGAGACCGGTATTCAATTTGACTACTAATTGTTAAATTATATGTCTTTCTAGATCTGACGGCGGTAGCAGTGAAAGTCCGTTACTAGTGGAAGAAGGAGATACAGTCGGTGCACCTCACAGTCCTCGCAGCAAACATAATCACAGTCATGCTCATGCTAATCCACATAGGTCTCACAGTTACCGTCATGAAAAGCCAAAACAGCTAGTAAAGTATGGAGAATTAGTTATCCTTGGGTACGAAGACTTTTTCCTTTATTCCGATTGAAATTTAATGGCTTCGATTATTTAATTCACTGTAATCGTTTCCCAGATACAATGGATTTCTTCCATCTGGAGACAGAGGAAGAAGGCGGAGTAAGTTCGTTTTGTTCAAGAGGCCTGTACCAAATGGCGTGAAACGCAGTAAACATTATATCGTTAAAACGCCGCATAGTTCACAAGCTATTCTAAACACGAAACAACATTCGATTTCTTACACTCTGTCACGAACGCAAGCCGTTATCGTCGAGTATACTGAAGATGAAGAAACCGATATGTTCCAAGTACGTTTATCAAGACAAATAATTAAGTCTTAATACGAAGTTTAACAATTTATTTATGCAGGTTGGACGTTCCTCGGAATCGCCTATCGATTTCGTCGTTATGGATACGTGTGCAGGTGGCAGCGATGGTTCCAACGAGGGACGCGTCGCGCAAAGTACAATCAGCAGGTTCGCCTGTCGAATTCTAGCCGATCGATCGGATCCTAGAATCGCGAGAATATACGCTGCAGGCTTTGATAGCTCAAGAAACATCTTCTTAGGGGTGAGATTCCTTATAGTTAAATAATTAATTTAATTCAATCGCCACGTGCTGAGATGATTGATTCGTTTCAGGAGAAGGCAACAAAATGGCAAGAGAATCGTGAAATCGATGGGCTTACGACGAATGGGGTTCTGATAATGCATCCGCGAGGCCAGTTCCGTGGCGGCGAGGCGCAGTGTGGCTTCTGGAGGGAAGTCAGCGTATGCGGCGGAGTTTTCTCGCTAAGGGAAAGCCGGAGCGCTCAGCAAAAAGGGAATGTTGTAGAAGATGAGAACAATATTCTGCAAGATGGTACTCTGATCGATCTTTGCGGCGCTACGTTACTATGGAGATCAGCTGAAGCCCTAGCAGAGTCACCAGTAAGCAAAGATAATCCGGTTTATCATCTCTGATCCGTGATATAATCTTCGTACTCTTTTCTGTAGACGAAGCATGATTTGGAGGAACTGGTCGATGCGATAAACGCAGGGAGACCGCAATGTCCAGTTGGCTTAAACACGTTAGTTATACCCCGCAAAGCGGCTGCAGATTCCGCGCAGCAGCAGCCGTACGTTTACTTGAAGTGCGGGCACGTACAAGGACTCCACGATTGGGGCCAGGAAAAGGACAAAGCGACGAGAAGATGTCCCATGTGTTTAGTAGCTGGTTCGGTAGTTAAACTGTCTATGGGAATAGAACCTGCATTTTACGTTGATTGTGGCCCACCTACTTATGCATTTAGGCCTTGTGGACACATGGCTACAGAGAAAACTGTCAAGTTGGTATTAATTGTAAACGATTTACGCGTTCATTTCTGTATAAGGTTAAATATTTTTCTCTCTCTGTTGCAGATATTGGGAGAAAGTTGCAATTCCACATGGTACAAATGGTTATATTGCAATTTGTCCATTCTGTGCTGTGCCACTCGAAGGCACGCCGGGATACGTAAAGCTGATTTTCCAGGACAATGTAGATTGAGCTTCGTTAATTATAAGGTCGTGAGTATGTGTAGAAATTCAATAAACTTCTATAAAATGCAAGAACTATTAAGAAATTAATAAAATGTAAATAATCTTAATACGAATGCGTATAACAAAGTTCTGTCTTCTTCCCTCGAATATAAATTTAAGCGAAAACTTTTGTATGTACAAATAGCTCTGCAATAATTATTATGTACATGGCTCTTGAAATAAATGTCCCTTCTTGAAAAGTATTATTTACGATTACATCTTACTAATTGTCTCTTTATAAAAAAAAAAACACGAGGTTGTGAAAAGAATGCGTGGTTACAGTGTTCGAACAATTAATTATTTAAACGTATATATTTTTGAACAGACCTCATTCTTTATGATCATAGAATAATTACATAAGATCATGTGATCACGTTATAAATATGTAACATCTCCAAATATTATGGAGTTACATCAGAACTATTCTTATGTACATGACAGTAGTAACTAGATTTAAAAGTATAATCGGTATATCAAGATGAAATAGAATAATAGTATATTAGTATCATAGTGTCTAATAGATCCATTCCTGCTTCTTACATTGACAGGTGAATTACGTCTAGTTTTACACAAAGACATTTCGAAATATATTGGTGTTTTCAATACGGTGTTGACAGTAAATGTACAAAAATGTAGTTAACTCTTGTACGTCCAAACAATGAATTTCTATTTCAAAGAAAACATGATTGAAAGCCCATGGCTTTTGTTACCCTTTTAGTGTTCTTTACATGATAGTGTGCACGATCAAGCTCGTGAAAATTGATAAGAAAAAAAAGAAAATAATTGATTGAGCATAATTGTAAATGAGAATATATTACTTTTATCTCTTCCGGTCGTTGGAACCGCTACGACGTGAACGGGATCGACGACTACGGCTGTTACTGCGTGAACGTTTTGACCTGAAACAAAATAAGTGATCATTTCTAATAACATACGAAGCTATGTAGATAAATGTTTTTATCAGAGAAGCTTTTCGTTCATGTAATTGATTAATTAAATGAAATACCTTTTTCCACGGCTGCGGCTTCGGGAACGTGACTTTCTCCTGTCTCTATCTCTGCGTTCTCGATCTCTTTCACGGTCGCGATCTCGATCTCGTTCACGGTCACGGTCACGATCTCGTTCACGGTCACGATCCCGATCTCGTTCACGGTCACGATCTCTATCGCGTTCACGATCCCGTTCGCGATCGCGATCTTTGTCCCTGTAACCCAATCCTCCGCGTCGATTATCGCGATCATCTCTGTCCCTGTCCCTACGTCTGTCCATCAACGACTCCCTCTTCTCCTTGCGTCTCTCTTCCATAGTCTTTTGAAGCTCTGCCAGCTTTTCGCGGATCTTGATGAATCCCAGATGCAGTTTCCCGCCGAAGTGATCCGCTAATCGTCGGTCATTGTCATGAATGCCAAGATATGCACTGCAGACCTCGCAGACTCTTAGCTTTTGTTGCTGGTAGCTGGACGCCGGCATACTGTTGCGATATTCTTGCTCGGCCTCGTTCTTTTTCTTTCGCAGTTCGTCGATCTCGCCCATGAGCTTCATCGACTCTTCGACGAAGCCCTCTTCCCCGAGCTGCTCGGCCTTGGCCAATTTTTTGCCAATCTCCTCGGCGAGCACGTGAACATTGTTCGCTTTTGCTGCCACCTCGGCGCTCAGCTCTTCCTGCGTCTCCGCGAGCCGCTGCTTCGCTTGTTCCGTGCGGCGATCGCAATCCGCGATGAAGTTTTGTAAATGTTCCATGGCCTAATATGTTCAAACGTTAATTCATCGTTTTTCATTAAAAAATATTTTGAGTAACTCGTAGTACTTACATCAATATCGTAAAAATGGTCCTTCTTCTTTTGCGCAGCCTCATAGTCAGCCCGTAGGGCCAAATCGTGAATCTGGGGGCATTCTCCCAGGTCCATGCGCTGCGATTTACAAATCATTCGATATTAGCCGAATATTGGATTGAATCTCGAGAAGCCTCTTTGGTTTTATTTAATATATACTTATGTATATATAAACCCTCCCGACTTGGTTTTCATTAGGAAAGACATCGTACAACAAGAACAAACTGTTTCTGAACTGGTCGTTCCGTAAATAGGAAACTAAATTAATCAAATTAGCGAACGCAACAACGATAGAAAAGTTAAAAGCCCTAGTTGTCCAGAAAGATACTGTCTAAAGATGCTTTTTCTTTATCTTACAAACGGTAACACTTTCGGCACGCGTTTACAAAGTAATCATACGTGCACGTATAACGTTCTCGAATAAATAAACGCTGTGCTACACGCGTTTATTTATTCGTAAGAAATGTATACGTACACGTACATACTACACGCGCATAATATGATTTATCGTATTTTCCACGGTTTACGGACAAAGTAAAAGTGCAATATTCAATTTACAGATAAATATTTTGTTAATGTTCACTTACAGAGTGGCAAGACCTCTCCGCCTGACACGACAATGCGATGGCAATGAAGCTACAATCAGCACACACCTTAAGTTCATATGTTCAATGGTTCTATGAAACAACTTACAGCCTAATAGGTTTATTATTATCTAATTTTGTTTTACGGTACGGCACGGTAATTGCCATTAAATGTGAGTTTTAGATAAACGAGAGTTCAATACGTACGAATCCAATGGTGGAAGAAATTTTTCGAAAACGGTAACCGGCGCGCTGTACAGTTCCCCCTAAATAATAAATAATTTCTCTTTCTCTCTCTCTCTCTCTCATTTCATGCTACTTCTCACTCTTTTAATTGCGTTTTTTGCAAATTGCCAAAGTGTTTGCTCTCGAATTCCCCCCATTTATATGTCTTTTCCCTTTACGTTCAATAAAACGCAGAGTTAAGGTCGAAGGACAGGGTTTGAACTGCGCGTTACGATAGTACTATTATTTCTCTTTTGATGATTATTCTATTCTGACCTTCCTAATACAACGAATTAAGTCTCGAACATCGCCCGGATAACATACAGTGAAAATTACAATTGCCATAGACCGACTGATCGAAAAAGATGATATCTCTTCGAGAGATTATAAGGGAAGTAGTAAATGGTTTCACTGCATATTAATTCGTCGAGGGACGAGTCGCGTTAGTTGAAATTCCGAGAATCGAACTTGAAAATTTTCTTGGCAATTCGCATTTTTCTTTGTAACTTTTACTTACAGATCACTGCTTCATTTCCTGTACCCATTTTATCTCCGAGGATGAATACGATTTTCACACATACTTTAAACTTGATTTTCTACCTGCCGTAAACGGCATATTAGTAAGAGAAGAAGCGACAATATAAGACATCGTCTGATGTGAATCAGCAATGGCGCTACTCACCAACTTTTCATATCAGGCCTTTCATTGTCAGGGGTCTCGGAATTAATATTCGACACTCAGCCTCGCCACCGTTGACCGGTAGAGGGGCTGAGGATTACCGCCCGCCTTTATATATCATATATATATATTTATTAAATCAAATTAATATACCTAGTACTTGGATTATATTGTTAAAAGAGATATATCAAATTGTAGGTATATTTGTAATACGTACGTCCTCTTCGCATTTTCAGTACTTACAGTAACGCGCATGTGAAAGCGACAAGTACAACATGACATATGAGCGGACAATACTCGCAACAATATTGTACAATGGATCTGATTGGAATTGCTTTTTCCAGAGACTCTGGAAATAGAACTGTAGGTACATTGGCATTAGTGAACTGGTATATCCGTCATTCTCGCGAGTATCTGCCAGAACTTCTTTTCTTTTTTATTCTCTTTATACGTTTTTAAATACTTTATTTCGTTTCTTTTGTTATCGCGTGACTTAACATAATTCTGTTTAATTCTATCGCGGTCAACCTAAGAGTAAAAGTAATATTTGGAAGGGTGCTTGCTAACTGCGTTTAAAGACCCTTTGAGCACCGAGCAAGCCTCAAGACGTATCCTTACTTCATATTTTAAAACAGTAGCATCTCTTAAAAAATAAAATGGCAAATAAAACTGTCCCTATTACAGTTTTCACTCTGACTTTTTCAGAGCGCACTGCTGTATGAATTCTTTACCTCAAAAAATACGCAATTCACGTTTGTCACCTTCCCTTGCATCAAGAGAGATATGTATGTCGTACTAAGCTATTAACGTCGAGTTTAATTTGATTACAAAGAATGCGGTACACTGCATTTTTCGTAGAGATTCGCGTGATATAATGTCGCCTTACTGCAAGTAGTTGGTTAGAGAATTGAACAGAAAGTTTAATTTCTTTTTCTTTTAACAAACACCCTTTGGACCAATTCGCACGAGATGACAAAGAAATGCGCGAAGCAGTAGTAACGTCGCGTTATACAAAAACCGTAAGTCGTTTCTCGATTTCCTGAGTTTAATGTCTTCGCGTTCGGCTGTTTAAGTATAGCTTCAATTTTCGGGCCATCTCTGAATATATTATAATAGAAAAAGAAGGAACAAGAGGCTTTTTCTCTTTTCGCTTCTTGTCTCATTCTTAAGTATACGCGGCAAACGCTGCCCCGTGTTGCACTTCAACGCCTATCTGGTGTGAATTGATCGGAGTCAATTCCTCGCAAGTACCGTCCTACTCCTTGTAACGTCGCAAGGGCAATTTGTAGCTTTTAAAACGTAAAATCGATCGGACCGATTGGCACTCATGAAGAAGAAACTACACGCAATTTGTCGTAATACTTTCTTGGTGAAGTATTGTACAAATGCATGAACAAAACTTGCAAATGTCAGTGTGCGTGTATGTGATGTGTGACATGAAAAATAGCATACACTTTTCATTTTAATAATGGCCAATTTAAATGATTAGAAGGGAATTGTGCAATCAGATTTGAATCTGCTGTTGACCAACCTCATAAATCTTTTTTAATATATCAAGATGTAATCAGGAAGATACAAGAATGTAAAGGGCGGGGTAAAACTGAATATAGTATTGATATTTAATGATATCTGATTGCTTCTGTGTTAATACGAATAAGTATCAAAAGGGGTAATACAAATAATGCTCTACTGTAGCGCAGAAGTGCCAATGGTATGTTCTTGATGCAGAGTGCTTAGAAACTGAAGTAGACTCACCGTTGAAGATAGAATCTCATGTGGGCAGCATGCCAGCAAAAAACTCTTGCAGACCTTTGGATCGGAGTACTTCACTTGAAATTTGTTATTTTCGCCTAGAATTATAAAATATTAATTAAATTATGACCGAAACCTATGCTCAATCTAACGTTAATTAAAACTGCGAATTTGTTCAAGAAACGCAGGTGATAATTCTGTTAAAAATCTATAAATGCATACATTGTCTTGTGCTGTTTACGTTTACTGAATTTTCCGATTTCAGTGTGACGTATGCATGCAATAGTAAGGATGCAAGCCACCATCTTGTAAATTGGCACCGAGTTTCACGCAATTGCAATTGCCAGTAAGAATATGCGGAGCTTTTCCGTGACTAAATAATATACGCACCATTTCGTCCAGTTCCCATTAATTGGTCAAGCATAGCTCGCATTTGATCGTGAGCAGTCATTTTTGTGAGAAAGTGCAATATCCTCGGGTCCACTGTCAAAAATGGGGCAGAGCGATCAGCCACGCCGCTGGTTTCCGAGTTTCGAGTTATTGTCCGACTGGATTTATCGATCAGAGTAAATCGTATGCGCGTGATTCGTCAGGTTGTCAAATGTAAAAATTCCTAGCATTGCATTCATTCACCCTTAGATCTCCGCAGTTAAAGTTTGTTTAGCATTTCATTAGCTATTCTATCTATGCAACTTGATTATTAAACCTATGTATGCACCGTTTTTATATTCTTAGCACAGAATAGAAGCTCTTTTAGGTGTATACAGTCGGTCCAAAAGATTCTGTACTCTCAGGGACCAGTGTGCCACCAGATTTGCCATACTATATGTTCAGTGCGTTAGTAACTAAAACCACCACTGAAACTGCGCGTGTGTAATACGCGCCGGGGGTGGAAGTCGATGGTCGGCGTACGAAAAATTGCAATTACGAGCGAGGCCCGTTTAATGCGATCCGTGTGATCCGTACTAGAAGGGGCGATACGGCGTGCATTTTTTATTTTTACTGACGACTCGCTCGTTAGAATTGGTGTGGCACTTCGACCTAACGTAGTTAGGACAACTACGTTAGGAGTGGTGGAAAGCACGACGGTACCGATCACGAAACTGCAGCGTACGAATACGCACGCGGTGTCTAAAAATGGCGAAGGTGTTTCGCGCGGTGACAGTATCGACTTTGTCAAACAATGGACAGTCAACAGCGAAATTTAACAAGCCGGTCACGCTCAATATCAACTATGATCCGCAGGGTCTCAGCGTCGAGTTCCTCCCAGGTATTCATTTCACGATAAATCATCAATTACTAATCATGATAGCGTCGCTGCTCGACGGACAACATAACCATACTTAGCACAGCGTTTATGGTCGTTTTCTTTTTTCTATTTAAATTTGACGACCATTTTTTACAATATAAGATTTTTATAGAAATCTTTTTTCAATCTCTCACGCACTAAACGCGGACCGTCGAGTATAATCCATCTAATTCGATACGATTTGTTCCTTCAATTTACAATGCAGGTTCCCTATTGTATAAGCATGATTCTGTATTTAAGAATGTCTTCTTTTGTGAATAAATCGATTTTATTAGATTCCCGTAACCGATTCATTATTATGTTACGTAGATTTAAATAATAAATAGAATAATTCGTAATAAGTTTTAAAAATGTAATCTGTTTATATGACGAAGCATCTTGTAACTAAGGAAGCATGTTTTGCACATACATTTCTTTTTATTTTGCTTCAGGAGATTCAGCTAATAGAGATAAAACTTCGTTATTGGAGTTTCCAATAACTCCAAGCACCGAGTGTTCCAGAGTATCGTCTAGAAGTTATGTATTTACACTTGATACAGATAGTTTACTAATAACATTTGCCAGTGAAACAGGTGAGTGAACGGATCAGCCGTAGCAAAACAAAGTATCCGCTATGATTTGATTTATTGGAAAAAATGTTTCTTTTAGATTTTAGACATTTTCATTCGCAAATATTAAAGCTAAAAAATGGTAAAGGCGTGTCGGCATTTAACGAGAGGACCGAAGAATCTTCTGCCATGCAATACTTTCAGTTCTACGGCTACCTCTCCCAGCAACAGAACATGATGCAAGATTACATTAGAACTAGTACATACCAGCGTGCAATCTTGGGGAATTTGTCTGATTTCAAAGATAAAATTGTGCTAGACGTAGGTGCTGGTTCTGGGATATTGTCCTTCTTTGCGATACAAGCTGGTGCTAAGAAGGTGTACGCGGTGGAAGCGAGTAACATGGCGAATCACGCAGAACTGTTAGTCGCCGCAAATAATTTATCAGATAAGATTATCGTCATAGCCGGTAAAATAGAAGAGATCGATTTACCCGAGAAAGTAGACTGTATAGTGAGCGAGCCGATGGGCTACATGTTGTACAATGAACGGATGCTCGAAACGTATCTTCACGCGAAAAAGTGGTTAGTCCCGGGTAAATATCTTTTAATCATTCCTGCGATTATTTTCGTTACGTGCCAAGCGTTGTAACCATGCAACAATAATCGTTACACAGGTGGTAGAATGTTTCCTTCGCGAGGAGATCTTCACATCGCCCCATTCTCTGACGAGAATCTTTATATGGAGCAATTTAACAAAGCTAACTTTTGGTACCAAACGTGTTTCCACGGCGTAGACCTATCAGCGATGCGCAACAACGCCGTTAAAGAATACTTTAGGCAGCCGATCGTCGACACCTTTGATATAAGAATTTGTATGGCTAAGTCTATCAGACACATCGTAGACTTTCAAACTGCTAATGAGACTGATTTACATAAAATAGGTGAAGATTTAATGCACGTGATCTTCTTCGGTGCTCGAAATCCCAAACGATCTAACATTTCATTTTGTGTGTTCCTTAGAAATCGATGTCGATTTTCACATATTAGAAAGTGGCACTTGTCACGGCCTTGCATTTTGGTTTGACGTTGCATTTATCGGATCGACGCAACAGGTCTGGCTGAGCACAGCTCCCACGGAACCTCTTACTCATTGGTATCAAGTTCGTTGTCTTTTAGAAAATCCCCTGTTCTGTAAAAGCGGTCAACTGTTGTCTGGAAAGGTCATTCTTGTTGCGAACAAAAGGTAAAGACCACGCATAGTCGCAGCCAAAGTTCAAAAGGTATGCGCTAATTATATTATTTTAATTTTCTTATTTTTATTTCAGACAATCGTACGATGTAACAATAGAATTGAAGCTAGAGGGTACGAATATGGAAAGCAGTAGTAACACTTTGGATTTGAAAAATCCATACTTCAGATACACGGGTGCAGCAGCGCAGCCTCCGCCTGGTTTAAATAACACTTCTCCCAGTGAATCCTATTGGACGACTTTAGACGCTCAAGGTGCCAGGCAGGCGGTGAACATGGTCAACGGAATGTCCGTTAATGGTTTAGGAGAAGTTTCTATGGACGCGACAGCAGTTAATCCCAGCAATTTGCTTGCAATTGGTGAGGAGACGATCAGAAGAATGATTTAACGGTATAAAGAGTTCGTATCCATCTACTACTCTTGTTTCTTCCAGGAGGTCAGCCGAACATTCACCCTGGTTCAATTTCGAGCACAGGTCGAGGTCGAGTGGGAGGCACGGCTACGAGTACACAGGCAGCACAATTAATAGGTGGCGGAATTACTCCGAACATGTTTACGTCTCCCGCTACGGTAAGTGTAAATATTTTTTAATTATCAGGTCATTTCACGAGTATTTGTATATTCTTGAGTAAACCACAGGAACAGTTTGGACCGCGATGAGAAATATGCAAAGACTTTGAAAGGACCTGATAGTTTTCGAGCGAGCCTAATAATCTTAGTATTAGAACTGTAGTATGTACTGATAACTGAATGGAAGTATGCGCACTGTACTAACTACACCGAACAGTAGCTCGCTGAATATAATCGATATAAAATAAAGAAAACGAGAAAGGATACTAAAGTGTACGCCTGCCTGCGTGTCTTTCGCGCTACAGCTTGGTGTTACTTTCCAGCAATCGCTGGTCCTTGGCAATACCTCGCATTACCCAGTGAACCCCAGCTTGATGATCGGCGATTACGTGACACCTGGTAACGGCATATCGTCTCAAACGTATCGGCAATGATCAATGGCGAAATCGTTTTGCACCGAGTATTCCTACACGGCGAAACAATCGAGCGATCGTCCGTGCGCTAGTAGTGGTGGGGACACTGGCAGCAACAATAATAAGCAGGGCCGAAAATTGGTGTTCAGCTCACCGGCGAGCAAGTTACGGGTCTCGTCCGCGGTTCGCATTTTGAACGCGGTCAGTTTGGCCAAGTTTAACACGAACGTCGGCCACGTAAACACCGCCATCGGCAGCAACAATAATTTCGCTTATTTTAACAAAGTTATCATTGGTTCTGGTTTCGGTTTCGGTGGGACCGCTAAAAGAAATAAGTTACAATGGGAAGCACGTTGGAGGAGAGTGCGAACCGTCCTCTCGTAGTTGTCGTTCAGTTTGTCGGTTTAGCATTTAATTTAATCGACGAATCCCTCGAAGATTCCGATCTTCCATACCGTGAAGCGCATGCTTGCCAAATGTACCCGAAAATACGATATTTTTTAACGACAATACATGTTTTAATAATGTTCCGCGCGACGACTATTTCACGGGTCCTGATACACGCAGTATCGTTTGTACATCAAAAAGTTAATGCAACTGCGGACGCGATCGCAGTTGCTTATCTCCCTCCCTCCCCATTTTCTTCGATGTACGTTGTTTTTGAAAGGTTTCGGTATCAGGTTAAATGGGCATCTTTAACGGAACGAAACTACGATTCAGACTTGATTCATTATATTAAGTGATTTTTACACAACACTTAGATGTAATAGCGTGAACGACGTTCCGAGATATTTCGAAAATGAACAAGCAGAAAGCAATAATCCATTAGAGATACAATATGGAGCACTCTGTGGCATTGCCTGTTATTTATCTCGCATTTCTCTTTGAAGACATCCTTCCATCAGATTTATTTTCCTTTATTTAAAAACGTGAAAAGGAAAAAATAAATTCTCCAACGAAAATTCCATATTTATACGTATTTTATAGTTACGTCCACCACCAGTCTCAGTTTCTTACTCTTTATTTTATACTTAATAACATCTTCGTTAATTATTTATGACCTAGAGAAGGAAACGAAATTGTATATAATTGTCTACGTAGATTGACTGACTCAATTATATTTAATTTACAATGACATGATTGAAAGCAAAGAAAAAACAAGTATGTCCAATAAAATTGTGTTGTTGCGATTCATATTTAGCTGATTTTCTTGTATTATTGCAATGTACAGAATACTAGAATAGCATGTACAGGCACAATTTCAAATTTGTGACGTTTGTATTTACATATCGGCCTTCGGTCAATAGGATTAATTCTATACTTTTAATGTACTTCTAGTAGATTTCTACCGCCTATGTATGTCATGCATGCCGGTTTCGTTTCATCGAGTAACCAAATATTCTCGTCGAGTATAAAAGAGAATGGATTTTGTTGTACGGATACCCCCGCATTTATGAATCTACAAGTATTTAGAGGACTTATAAAACTTGTTTTTTTTTTTATATATATATATACGAAATTTACGGGTTTCCGACCGCAAGGAATTTCGTTACGCGATGAAATACGACGATCAGAATGTTTTTTATAGCTTTGAGATAACGAATGACTTATTTAATTGAATGACCAAGAATGTATTTCTAAATTGAAAAGAAAATGGGTAATCTTCTGATAACGAGTCGTCCCTGTGATATACAAATGGTACAAGCACGTGCGAACGGTTTCTTATCGCTTAATATATAACTCTTCTCATATTTTATACATAAAAATAAAATGTATCATTAATCGCATATCATCCCTTGTTTTATGCACTTCAGTATTCCTACACAACATTTTTGATTTGTTCAATCTTCCTGTTATTGGAGGATTACCTATTCTTAAACAATGTTGTACATACTATATTCTTAATTTTTACAAATCGATTGTACGTTCAGATCTCGGTATAACACTTAAGTCTCATTAGTTCCTAAGGAGTGCTCTTTATTAGTTATCTGCACAAACTTGTTTCTTACTTTAAGATACATACACTCTTTTGATACCCAATTTTACGTACCTTGAACAGTACTTTCAAGTTTAAGAAACCGATACAAGGGCATCGTTTAATTTACGACTAGCAGTTCTTAGTGTAAATGTACTTTTTACTTGTACGTTGCTCCCACTGATTTGATATTAGGCGTGCGAATCAATCTGATGCCTTTAGATTTTCCAATCGCAGTAGAAGAGTTAAGTATCACTGTCCCATCTTATAAATATTTATGAAGCTAACGAACGAGGCATTGCGAATTAATTTACACGCCTAATGTAACAAGGATAACGCTAAACGTGTAAATAATTTTGCCTAGTATTCTTTGACGCTTTCCTCGAGCTATAGAGTTCTGCGAAACGGAACATACAATTTCTTTTTAGCTTACGTATTTAGTATTCGAGATCACATTAACCGCAGGCATTCCACAAGTGCTGATAATATTATACAATTCGTTAACTCTGTATAAAACAAGAACATGCCTCTTCCAGTCTCGTCCTTTCTCTCTTTCTCTTTCTCTTTCTCTTTAAATGAAACAATGAAAGCAATATCTAGAAGCAAGTGCAAGAATAATTACGACGCGTTCTCTCAAATTTCAATAGGAGATACAAAAGATTGAAACGTTACATTTCTCTTTTTGTATCCTTTCTAGATATTGCTTTTGACGTAATTATTTCTTTCTTTCTCCTCGTTTTAGGAAATTTTTAACGACTGAAAGATACAAAATATCTCAGGTAGCCAAGTGAGTTTGAAGGATACTGTTTTATACAATTTCATGCCATTTTTCAATTGTGCGCTCGAGTGTCGAGAAGAAGAAGACGAAGATTAGTTCTCCCCTCTTCGAGATACATGTATACTCTTCATAGTATTGAGCTTAACAAGTTGCTTTCGCAAGTAAAAGAGAACATATACGTACTACTTGAATAACGAGAAAATGTTTGCGCTGGCAAATTAATTTGCTCTAACGTCTGTTATTTTTAATTTGTCAAGTTCTTTTGCGATATGTGATACTTGAAGAAATGCCACAGGATTTAAGAAAATTCATTCGCAGCAGAAAGTCTAACTAAATAACAATATTTAAAAACATCGAACTCCATACCAGACATATGATATTAATTTAGACGTTCATGCTTCCTGTTGCCAATGAATTCAACTATTATTTTACTGTCTGTCCAGTGATCCAACCGAAGGGTAATTTTTTAAAAACATTCTGTAATTTGGTTTCGTTTTTTTAACATATTAAAATTTTCGTAATGAACCGAAGATACTCTCGAGTGTCATAAATAATGCGACTTTTTTTAGCCATTCCACGTAACGAAAACTTTTTGTACTTATAGCTGTTCCCAATAAATGATACGTAACTTTAATTCGCGTGTGTAATCGACGTACACAAAATTTTTGTTTCAAAGACTTTTGCATTAGTCTTGTACGTATATGTACATCTTTCTGTTACATTTTAAGTGTTACGTATAATTTAGACTGATGAAGAAAACGAAATCAGATGAATAAATGCAGCCTTTAATTAAGCAATTAGACGACACGAGAATCCCAATAAAAGAACATGCTCAGTTTTGTACGGTACATATATGTATACAGGGCGTTAATAAAAATTCGAAATATTTATAGAGGACTGATCCTAAGAGAAAAACAAATGACTCATCTTTTTTCAACACTCTGTATGATATGAATTCCTGTATGCACGTTCGTGATATATACACAATTTGCCTATATCGTTTTATTTATATATGTATGAAAGAACGAAAATTGCTTTAACGAACTCATACTTGCGTGCATTGTACTTCCACAAAACTTTACTTTGTATTTAGTGCATCGACAATTTATCCTGTAATTATTCTCAGGTGAAAAAAATGCCATAAAGTTCGATTTGTACTGTGTCGAGTCAAATATATTAGAATAGAATCAAACGTTAATGTGCACTTAAGCTTTTGTAAGCTCCGAAATATTTAATTAAACCGCGTATACTGGAGATGAACATCTAAGAAATTAAATCTAATTCGACTAATCAATTCATACTTATTTGTTCAACATTACCAAGATTGAACGTAAAAAATTATTTTCCTAAATAAGTTCGGTGATCCCCAGAAAAATTTATGTATTCTGCTATTACAATTTCGAATTTTATGAGGCTCAATTTATCGCTCTTGTTCTCTGTTCAATGTACGACGTATCCCCGAGGAGACAGTACAGGATTTAACATTATTTTAATAATAAGATACTCGTCGTTCTCGAGATTTCGAGAAGATAGAAAGTAAGCACAATATTTATATAAGAAGCGTAACGAGCTAGAACGAGTTCGCCTAGTATTCGTAATCCACTTATTTGTAAAGTATTAATATTTGTATTCCGCCAACGTTTCTACAGATGAATGAATGGAGAAGATTACTCAGATAGTTCCACCCGACATCTGAGATTAAGTTTAAATAAACTTATTTACTTCAACGTTATTCTAAATTAATTTACTTGCCACAAGTGTTTTTTTAATGAATTAAGCACTGTGTATATGAATTGATTCTTACATATATAGACCGAGCGTCCAATGTGTTTTAGACGATAGAGAGAATATACTCTTCCATGTATCGATAGAGAAAAAAGTTCTTTCGTTAAATCGTCTGTTCCCTCATTTGAGCGCTCGGTCTATGACGTCTATGAATGGATCATTGAGCTCTAGACTCACTGATGGATTCATATGGACGTATGTGTACAAGTCACTGACACACGTAAGTATAATTACCAGAAGGAAGTTAGTCACTTTAAAATGAACGTTAACTTCAGAGTGAAAATGTTTTACATCTCCTCAAGTTCCAGCAACTAGCAAGGCCTAATGTAAACTAAAGAATTCTCAACGTGACACGTATTCGAATAATTTTGGGGAAAATCAATTATATAAAGCGGTATAATAAGAAAATCTTCTCAATACAGCTCAAGATTGATTACCACAGCCGGTCTTAGACAAATGTTTCTGAGGCTAACGTTCATTATCGCGCCAAATTTCCTGTTTCTTTAAACGAGCCTATGAAATGGTGAAATCGTCGACTAAATTCGATCAGTACACGTTGAAAATTTCGATACCGATTATTTTTTTAAGTGTTACAACGTTATTTCTTTACTTGAACCATGTACAGACACAGTATTTCATCGACGAGGTTTTCCACGTACCTCAAACCTTGCGGTATTGCGCTGGCAATTTTTCACAGGTACGTTTCGTTTAATTATTTCTTAAATTTAACATAAGATACCGTAACCTTAAAGAATTGAAATTATTCTATTATCGGTATTTCTGTGAGAAAGATTCGAGGGATAATATTATTTTCAGTGGGATCCAAAAATTACCACTTTACCTGGATTATACTTAATCACGACCGTGATATTGTCACCCCTAAATCTGTGTAATACTTTTTATATGCGATGCGTAAATTTGATCGGAACATTTTTCAATCTCTATCTCGCTTATAATATAATTAAACAAATTTCGATATCTCATTGGAAAGAACGATGGAGCGATCGAATGAAGCTCGCAGTGGCTTGCAATATTATGTTCTTCCCACCGTTATTTTTCTGGCATTTTCTGTATTACACGGATGTCGTGTCGGTTAACGCGATATTATTAATGTTACTGTTACATTTACGCAAAAGATCTACGGTAGCAGCTCTCGTGGGTACGTATAATAATCTTAATACATACTACTTTTCAAAACTGGGATTAAATGTTGTACAGGTATTTTGTCTGTCCTGATTCGACAGACAAATATTATTTGGGTCGCGTTTATTTCCATTGAACGCGTATTTGATTTGTTAGACTGTAAAATAAGTAAATCTCTTCTACGTGAACAGCATCGTTCTGTGGATTATTTAAAAGTGAGTAGATTATTAAAGACGAGATCTGGCCGATTCATACATTTGATATTTATATTGTATACTTTTTAGCTCGTGTGCAAAAAGATAATAGAGGAAGCACAACGCGGATGGGAATCATTTACAAAATTTATAATTGTCTTGTGCATTCAATTGTTTCCATACATTCGAGTATGTTTACTATTTATTGCCTTTGTTGTTTGGAACAAAGGAATTGTCGTCGGAGATAAAGCAGCTCATGTTGCTACCGTTCATATACCTCAATTACTATACTTCTCTGCTTTTCACTTTTGTTTTTCTTGGCCATATACGATCATATACTGGAAAGATTATTTTCAGTTTATTACTAAGCATTGGATGTTTGCAATTTGTTCACTAATAATTTTAACAGTAATAGTTCATTTTAACACTTGCGTTCATCCATACATATTAGCTGACAATAGGCATTATGTGTTCTACTTTTGGAACAAGTTCATGGGAAGATACAAGATATTCAAATATTTATTAGTACCAATTTACGCGTTCACTTTGTTCGCTATGCTCAGAGGGATCAACCATTTAAGGTTCACGACACAGATTAATTATATGCTAATGGTTTCCATAGTACTCGTTCCTCAGTTACTGATAGAACCACGTTATTTTATCATTCCGTACGTACTTTATCGTTGTTTTATTACGAAACCAAGAGACTGGCAAATCGTAGCGGAGTCAATGACCACGCTAATAGTAAACTCTCTGCAGTTTTATATTTTTATCAGCAAAGTTTTCTATTGGAACGATCAACCATATCCTCAAAGAATATCATGGTAAATTATGATTATCGGTTAATAAACTTTCGATCTTCGTAAACAGTTATATTTATTTCCAACTATATATAGTCCTTCTTAAAACATCCATTTAAAGTGTTTACAAAATTTATATGTGTATATCGATATAATTTATGTATACATATATTAAAGAATATAGTTGTTTCATTTGTCTTTATGATTTGTTTAAACATATAGTCAAGGAATACTTAAAAATCTGATTAAAAAGAGAGCGCTTAAAAATTGATAGCAAAATATAGTAAGCCTGTGTTCCAAATTCGGATATCCCTGGAAATTCTTTTAGGAACATTTATATATCCATTCTTATCACATTAAACTATGAACAAGCAGATAAATAAATGTACAGGCGGTAATACTTGACAAATTGGCGATTAAATGCTTCGAGACACAACAAAGCTTCCCGTCAACATAGTTTTAAGAAACCAGTGCTAAAAGACACTTTTTATAATGGCCGGAACAATCTCCCTGTAACAAAATTTGTAGATTGAATATCATATTTAATTTTCTTAAATGAACGTGGATTTAATATACTAACGGATATGAAATCTTCCAAGGATTCATTGTACTGTCGTTTGAATTCTTCCTTGATCTCGCCCATGTCCTCTTCGCAACGCGTGACCACTAGTCTGATCAGACGGTCATCGTCCGTGCCGAAACCCTTCATGCTCTTGTACAACTGTTCCGCGAAGAAACCAGCTCGGTTCTTCACACATTTCACTGTAATACAATTATATGTTATTTCTAATTCGTAAAAGAAGTTATTAACTACGGAATATTATAGATACCAATTGCTAGAAGTCCTTTCTTAATGTCGCCCGAAAACTCGTTATCGATCGCGGTCTCTATGGAATGACCGGTGATGCCTTCGTATTCGTTGAAGATCTGTCTCAACTGTGGAATGCTCCTTTGAACAAGTATCGCGTTGAACATTGACTCATCGGTTCCGAAACGAAGTTCGCCTAAAAATAACAGTGTAGAGTAATTTCATTAACAAATAATAAGTGAAGCAATTGGATTAGTTGGAAAACTATGTACCAGCCATGAGAAGGTTTTTGGCATCCTCTAATGCGGCTGCACGATTCACGTCGCGTGACTCATCCCTGTTTGCGCAACAGAGCGATACCATTAATCGCTTGAAATTCCCAGATGTGTCGTCTCTTAAATCATCCTCCAATGATCTTCCGTACACTTTAAGAAAGACGAAACAGTTTTAATGTAAGATATTAATTCCAGTACTTTATTTTTATATCAATACGCACTTGCTTCGTAGGCCTGTTTAATCACGCGAATCTCGTGATTAGACATGGTGCACAGTACTTCTATTAGAACGCATTCATCGGTACCGATACCGGACATTGCATCATGCAATTCTTTGGCATAAAATTGTGGCAATGGTATCATCATAGCCACAAGCAACTTTTCGAAGTTGCCCGACGTTTCGGACTTCAAATCTTTCACAAGATCCTAGGAAAAGTCATTTTGGATAGATTTTTCTTTAATAGTTTTGTAATTAGTTTTTTTACCTTGCCATATAGAGTCTTAAACTGTTGGACGATCTCCTGTCGCTGTAAATTATTACGATTTGCAAGAACGTTGATGATAGACTTTTCATCCGTCCCAAAACCTTTCATTGCCTTTCTCAAAACCTCTGCATCCGCTCTGGCATCGAAATCTGGATACGCAACAACCGTTGGTGATACCTGTAACACGCATAATCCCATTCTTTACAATTTACCAAACAGAGACATATTAATATTTGCGAAGCGTGCAGATATCTTGCTATCCAATGTCTCACCTTCCACGCGGACTGAGTTTTTCGGGGGGCCGGGGCTGGTTGATAAGAACTTCCACGTTGTGGAGAATAGAACCCTGCACCCTGCCCCCCAAGATAGCTGCCGCCTGCATAGGGACTCGAATGATTTGAGAAATTGGGAGCTGAGGTATAAGGAGAAGAATTGAAACATTCTTTTGCTTCTGGTGCGTTCTGAAGCTCAGGATACAAATCGTAATTTTGTTGTTGCGGATAAGATGGTGGTTGAGGGTATGATTGAGGTTGAGGTGGATAAGACGGCAGTTGAGGATGAGATTGATGTTGAGGTGCATAAGGAGAAGGTTGTGGCATAGATTGTGGCATAGGTTGTGGCATAGGTTGAGGCATAGATTGAGGCATTTGTTGAGGAGTTCCCGGTGCTGGTGGGCCATAACTGGGTGTAGGATGATTAGGTTGGATTGGATAAGGAGACGCAGAATATGAAGAATAAGGTTGTGGCATTCCGAAAGATGTAGGAAGGGCATTTGAGAAACCCATGCCACCTTGGGCGTAAGGCGGAGCACCAGGTGCAGAGGCAGCACCAGGGGCAGAGGGTGTACCAGGTGGAGCCCCGAACGACGTCGGCGGTGGTACATGTCCCGGAAATTGAATCACCGGTGGTCCCTTTGATTGTTAAGGTGCAAATAGAAAGTACAATCACACTTCATGCACAGCTATCACTTATTTGAGTTTGCACATGAAAAGTGCAACGCCAAATGAACGAACGAATAATTGTACACACCTTGTAGCCGTAACTCATTTTGATTCCTGGTTGAGAGATCAGTGGCTTGAAGAATCTGTAATTAAAGGAAGCATTTGTCTTAATTAAATAAACAAACGGATATCCCTTTACAATTTTTACGAACCAACAAGGAATATGATGGACGAAGTCGGTGACGCACAATGTAGATTCGAATGCAAATTGTACGTGTTTGCGAACTTATTACGAAACACTGACAAACAAATCGTTTGGGTACAGCTAGATTTTATAGTCAGCTTGTTTACGTAGCACAATTGTCAATATTAGCTTAGCTTCCCCGAAAATTCGTATGCAGGTATTGATGCACGATTTATTTTCGTGACGTGTACGTAACAGTGCTTTTATAGAAGACGCAGCTACCGAACGTTTGCAGACGTTGACGTTGCGAGAGTGAATTCGACAGAAACTTCGTTTCAACGGAAGCTGTGTAGTGGGAAAGAACAAAAAAACGTAATCATTTACCGGTTAAATGACGTCACAAGGTGCTTACGTGTATTTCCGTTAGAATTGAGACACGACAAAGACGCATGTGCGACAAAGTGAGGAGCGCGGGAATACTGACTAAGTAGACTTGAATTGAAAACACTTTATTAACTTCCACCGTTTCTCTTTTTATTTTATCATGATAAAGATCAAACGTGTCGTCGTACGTTTTTTATTTTTGCAATCGTTACAACACCCACGCACACGAATACGCGATTCGCACGAAGCCAACGTATTATTATCTAATAACGAATTTATTGCTTGTAGTGTCTCCGCTTAATTACAAGCGAATCGCAGGACTTTGAGTCGGCCTAACAATGTACATATTGTGCCCGTAAACGTTCTCACGAAACTCTATGTGCATGTGTCGACAAACTTTGGCTAATATAATTATTCATAGTTGTTTTCTTAGGTTAAGTCGTCAATGTTGAATACTTTAAAAGAACAGTATTTCGCAGATTCTCCAAAAAATATATAACGCAATTATATTCGCTCGACACTGCTATAATACTTTTTGATATTTTTTTTTAATGTTGCTGGACTAGATAATATATATTTATATATGTATATAGCGGATGCGCGTAGCAACCGGAACTATATATCGCATTATTTCTCGAGCAACAAGGGCGGAGAGATTAACCGTCTCATCAACGATTAAAATAATGTATCACTCGCATCACTTTGGTAATCGATAAGATGTAGCTCCAAAAGGTCTACTACCATTTCAAAATAAGGTTTTTAACTCTGTATTTACCCTATCTCCAACTTTTATTGATTGTTCCAAGATTGAACAATTCCTCGCGCGATACTCTATTCAGACCTTTTGAAACACGTTTCATTTTTTCCTACCTACGCATGCATTCGATATGATTCACGTTTGACCGACGAAACATTTTTGTTCGCCGCCAACTGTAGCCGTTTCTTATAAAATATCATACGGTATCGTTCTTTCTGCACTGATTCACATTCTCTCTTACTCTTGTTCTCTCTCTCTCTCTCTTGTTAATTTTAAGATAAATTATTTCATAATTCACATATTCTTTTTAAAACAAAGAGTAATAATTAAATGAACTAATATGATAAAAGGAATGACACAGGGATCCTAACTATAATTTCAATTAACAATTCTCCATAAACTTTGGATAACGATAGAAATTATGAAATAATCGAATAACTTTCATACGTAAATAAATGCTATTTTAGAACAAACAGTTCGTTCGTTGTCTGATACATGACAGGACTATATTACATATTGCACTGTGACAGAGGCGAACTCTGAAACGATTTTTGTACAACGATAAGTACAAAAGGTAATTCTCGTTAGAGATTCCTATTCTATTCAAGACTTAATGAAATCTACGTTCGCTGTATGGCTCTTATAAATGAGAAAAGAACGCTTGGTCACATATCAGACTTAGGTCGAAATGAAACGGAAGATAACATGAGACGTTGTACTCAACAGTGAAGTCTTTCTTAGTTACAGTTCTCTTTTGTTATATCGTAATATCCACGCGTCAACGAACTTTGAACCGAGTCATCTCGTCCGCGCTAATTGGTCATTGGCCTACTGACTACGTACTAATCATTGTAACAGCTAAAACCTAAGCGTTAATATACAAAATAATTCTCTAGTCAGAGCCATACTTTTGCAACACAGTTCCCGTCCTTATTGCGCGTTACTTCAAAAAAAAATTTCGGCAAAGCTACAATCCGTTCCGAATTCATTTTCCAAGGCCAATAATAATATTAATAATAGTAGCAAGCAACTTCAATAAAGAAATTCGGAACGAAACATAGCTGTCCCAGAATCTTTTCGAAGATAACAAAAAAAACGAAGAAAATCATCGCTACGCCAATCGTACTTTACGATACTTCAGGCACTGAATCACTTTATCGTACAGTAAATTCCCTCTTATGTAATCCACATTTCGAAACCTTTAACGCTACTTTAATTCAATCACAATCGCTAGATTTCGCGTAAGTTATTAAGGTCCGAATTCATAAATTAATTTTTTGTATCACCATACTGATTATTCTGTTAGCCAACTGATCCGTTTATCTTCGAGCAGAATTCGATAACAGAGAGTTCACTGTACATGTGAATTAAAATCAGATCGAACTCGAAAATCCAGTCAGTCTCAGTCACGAACGACTCACCATCATACTATCTGCAGTTTTAATTTAACCAAGTTCGTCTCACCGTACAGTTTCATATCTAAGGGGGCACTAGGCTCGTTCTTCTTCGTCTGCGTGTGCCACGCCAGCACCTTGGTGCAATTGTCGGCGAGGAATTCGATTTCCTTCGGCTCGAACGGCGCGAGACTCTTCAGGAACCCGTCCTCCTCGTAGCCGGCCTTGAACGGCATCGTCGCGTTCGGCCTCTGCAACAGGAATCTCACGCTCACCGCGAAACCAGCCATGTCCACCGGGAACTTTCGGCCCGCGATCCACCCGTCGTAGAATCCTACGAACTTCCCATTTTTTATGACTGGTGAACTTAAACCAAACTTCGTGCACAGACCCACAGGAAACATGGAGATCGTTTTCGTTTTACGTATCTGTAACAAGCAGCGCGTTATTAAATAATTATACGTTGTTATAATTAAAGACGATTCTCCTAGAAATTAAATTTTACAAAATTATGAAAGTACCTCATCGAAAAGCGCGATGTCGTAAGTATTGTCGTCGTCAGCGAAATAGAAGACGCCATTAGTGGCGTTCGCCCTGATCCACTGCAAGCCACGGTTCCGATTAGACACGCCTCGTGGTTTGGCACCCTTTTTCTGCTTGTACTTCTCGGGCATCGGGGCTGGAAAAGAAAACACAAAGGGGATCGGGGTGAAACGACATCGAGTACTCAATATAAATTAGCCCGCGCAAAGGCTGACACGATTTCCCAGTCCAGGCTACACGTTTTTAAGCGGCCCGGTCAACAAAATCAATAGAACCGCTTTTTCACCGACACTGCAGCCGTTTCCAATTAATCCAAAGACGATGAACGAAATTTATTTATTTATTACTACATTTTTTGGCAATTTACTGATACGTGTCAGATTTTGAAAGAGACCGAAGGTCATCGTATTTACCAGTCAGATGATCGAACTTCAATCCCGTTCGTTCCAGCAGCCTCGTCACTTGTTTGGTGGCAACGGTCGCGTCCTCGATAACGAGCCAGTGAACGTTCTTCACCAGCATCAAAGTGTGCGACATCCTGGTGAGCTCTGGAATCTGTTCCGGCCGGCGATACGTTGGCGTGATTATGTACAGCGGTTCCACCGTATCTTCTGGGACCGTCGTGGGCCGTTGCTGAGCAATCGTCGCGTTTCTACCGAATTCAAGCTTATATCGCGCGATCTTCGAATTGTTTTCAGCGACTTCGAGGATATTCTTGTGCAAATGATTCACTAACTCTTGTACGAGCATGGACGCCATGTCCGGACTTAGCCCGTTCGTCTCTTGAACCCTACGCACGGCACTTTTGATCTAAAATTAGAGATAGAAACGATTATAAAACAGTGGTCACGGACGAGCGAACATACTTTGAAGTCTGATTGGCTTACCATTTCTTCTGTGAGTTTGGACGTTCTCACGTACCGTTCTACGTCTTCTTGGGATAGAACGGAGTTTTCCTCTGCTGAACCACCGGTGTTGAAATCGTTCATCTGGTCGAAACGCACACCGGTGGACAAATGGTATTGGTAGAGCACCAGGAATAAACCTATTAAGGCTATCACCCCCATTTTCATCGATGGCTTCATCATACCAGGACCTGAAATATGTCTTTCCTCTCTTCGATTACGGCTAATTAAATGTGGTCGTTCGAGCTAACTAAGATTACATCGAAATCGTTAGAGAAGGGAAACGATACGCGCTTCCGTTGATATGTGCACGTAAGAGGGGTTTTTTCAAGTGGGGATCATAGGAAAAAACTGAATTTTTATTGCCAGAAGTACGTGACATATGACCGTTTTGCAATGTAAGCGAATCACGTTGTGGTTTCGCAAACGGTTTTGTTCGATGAAGAAAAATATTCGCACAATGCAAAAACAAAGAATCAGCAAAGGTAACGTAAAGATACCAGTCAAATAATTATACGCCGAGACAAAACGGTAAATAGAACAAAGAAACTCTTAACTCATTTGGCTGGCTCTTATCACTAAGAGTAAAAACTTCATCGTTTGGAACTCGCCGAAGGCCGATTAGTGATTTCATAACGTAACTTATTTAGTCGACATCTAATAATAAGGTACAGCTCCATATATTTTATTACTCTTTGGTAATAAAAACTGAAATGATCGTTGAAAAAGCAAGTTTTACGAGGCGCGACTTCGATAAACCTAAGCATACATGTAATACGTTGTTACTGCAAGATCAAAACTCTGGTCAAAGATATTCTTATGTCGGTGGAGGTACCGTTGTTTGAAACCTAGCGATACTCGTATCCAGCTTCCGGTTGTGTGTATTATCAATCTCTCGGGACCTCTCACACCATACTTTATCGTACATTCTCTACACCACGTTGTAAAAACATTTTTCTTAAAAAAAGGGATAGATACTTCTATTTCTATAAACATAATAAATTGTTTTATCTTACCTAACTTACATTGATTGAATGACAATAAATCAAGGCTGACAATGAGACAGGATGACTGTCAAATAGATACGCAAGAGTACTTCAAATGTTAAGTCATGTAGCACGTGTATTCATTAGCTTAAGATTCACTTGGTTGCGTTTATAAAATTCTACATAATTTAAAATGATAAGGCGACGGGTGCAAACACGAGAATTTGTTGACAATGACGGAAGCACTCGTCAAATACAGTAAGGAATTTGAGTAATTAGCAGATAATTATTGTCAATATATTACAAAATATCCACCAGCCATCAATCAGTCTAGACTACCGACAGGAATTAATTTGCGCAAAACAAAAAATGTCATCCTCGGAATTGTCGCAATTTAAAGACGCGAGTTTGATGAAACGGCGCGTTTATTTCACCATTGGGACCACAAATTCACGAGAATAATCTTGATTTCCTTCCCTGCAATTTCGTCCGCGAGATAATTTATGACTCGTAGGCGGTAGCACGTAAATTCGCGGAGAACAAACGCATTTTGCAAACCGGATAAAAATGCAGCGAACCGCTTTTCAAATAATGTGCTCTTCGTTCGAAAATACGATTCTAAAATTTTTCCGAGATTCTTCCTCATTTTAAAATTATGAAATACGTCAGTGTTAGTATTTAGGAGATTTCCCGCCATAAATGTGACAGACTCGATAACCGAATTTGACAAAGGAAAGAAAAGATTGTTACCTCCATCAATCTCAGAAAAAAACGATTGTTACCTTTGTCAATTCCAGATAAGATTTTATCTTGCACAGGCGAAACCTGTCACTGAAGGCAAATTTATTATGAACATATCTTTTATAAGTACACGATCAGACCACACTCGTAACCACCTGGTGTCTCGTTTACTAGATTAAGTCTCACGTATAATTAGTATGAAAATAGGGCTGTTTGAACAGAGTTCGAGTGGAAATAGTTTCGCGAGTCCAATCCGTGTGAACTGACCGAGATACGAAAATATAGCATTCAAATGAAACGCAGAGATAAAGTACAAGTGGAACTACTAACACAAGAATATATCTGGCCTCTCTAAAGTTTATTGGAAAGGAAAACCATTTCAAAGTCGATAACAGTATGTACGATTGCATTCTTTGTCCGTTAATATAATGAGAAGCAAATGATGGCAGATTGCATCGCGCAAGGATAAAGATGGAATTTCAACTGGCGGGATTATATAATCGAATCAGGGGATTGGAAATAGTCTGGTAAAGGATCGATTAGACTTAATTTAGAGCTGTGACAGACGTACATCACTTGCTGCAGTATCAACTTCGCCGGCGTGTGCGCGTGTATGTAGGTCATGAAAAGCTGCAATTCTCTAACCCCTTTGTTAACCCTTTCAATTTAGTGGCGCCGCTCGGCACCCGGCGAATTTCCAAGTACTGTCTTCACGAACAACTCGAGGTTCAAAGTTCCTTCAGTTTCATGATTACTCGAAAGGCGCCCGCATTAACGGAATGGTTATTACCTTTCAAACCGGTTAATGGACGCGTAAGTAAACATCAATGCTTTATGCCTGGTTTAACGCAAACACGGCTTGTTCCACAAACATTAGACGCATGATTCACTAACAATTAAAAGTCGATGCGATCACGATAACCAAGGAAACACGGTCGCTTTCGAGCTGGCATTGGGAAGACTGGTAAAATATTACCTTAGCTTCACCTACATAAAATCTATTATACCGTTTCCCAGTACAAATCAAATTAACGCAAAATATTAACCAGGGCTTCTGCAATCGATTAAAACTCGGTTTCTAACAAATCGTGAATCGTCTATTTATTCATCAATTAAAACTCACCTGATAAACGGTGTTCATAGTCCGCTGCGCGACGCGTTATTATTTCGCCTTTGATTTATACGATCCGTATAAAACACCACTACGGCTGGGACATGTTCAGTATTCCTTTTTCACAGGGTAACAAAGTCATTTCGCGAGATTGCGACAACTGAATCTCGATTGAAATTCAACGTTAGCGATCTTTCCTGGCACTCGTGCACCGAACGTCTACCGTGTTCGATGCACTACACGTTGTTTTCTCATGTTCCCGAACGAAATTTCACAGTCAGATTTTGTTGTTCGCGAGAAAACGGTTTGTTTAACGAAAGACCGCAAACATGAACCATAACGCTACGTACCGCGAGTATCTCTGCGCAATGCGAACACTCGACACACGTTCGAATGATAAAAGATTGCTTTCAGTATCACGAATTTTCGTGGTATGTCCGAAAGACCGGGCGGAAGCACGTTGTCACTGGCATGATCGATCCGCGCGCGAACATCTCACTAAACCCCATAGTCCATCGCGAACGTATTTTTAGCGAGGTTCCTCGGGCACGTGTCGCGTTTTCTTTTTGACAGCGGGGCGACTACGTTCTCCGTCGTTGACTCGACGCCGGGTCGATCGTCTCCGCGTTTCGCATTTTTTACCCGGTGTTCTTTCTTTCAGCGAAAAGTGGAAACAGCACACCTGGCGGAAAATGGTTAGAACGGTAACGGAACGAACGCTCCTCCGTCGGCTGACACTAAACTGCTTCTCCGTCGCGATCCCCTTGCGCGGTCCGTCTATGTTCGCATACCCCCACTGTTTCGTTTTCAGCTGGCGCAGCAGCCGACGTTCTTTACCCATATATACATGCACGTTTATATGTATAACCCGCGTTGCACTGAATCACGTGGGAGAATGTGTTTGACGCAAAGCAGAGCAAGATAGATGTTTCGATCTCCGAAACCGGCTACTGCTCTCGATCAAACAATCTCGCGGAAGCTATCATGCGTCGACCCGAAAGAATCAAATTAAACCCCTTCAAATAATAACACTCGTCACGAGTCACTAGCGTCTATTACTTACGGAATCCGGAAAAGTCATGTCCAATATTATCAATCAAAGTTAACTTCCATCGTAATAGCGAAGATACAAGGATTGACGCACGCAAGATGAGTAGGTATGTTATAGGATACTTAATGAAAATCGAATTACTAAATCGATTGACCGACGCGATCTGAATTTTCAATCAGAAGTCTGACGTTACATGAATTTCATTACAAGATACTATAAAGATATGTGTTTATAAAGCTCATATAAAATAGTATGCAGATCCTTTAATCAACTGTATCATCAATCTGAATCAATATCACTTTCGCGTCGTCAGGGAAATAACCGGGAAATTATATTACAAGCTGTTACTTAGGATAACGTGTTCGCATCGAGCAAACATTCGGTTCTTAGCTTAGCGACCGGAATGCAAACTCAGGTTTTGAGCCTAGTTTTAGCAAGCCCAATTAATCCGTAGCAGGAACCTGGAGGGTTGTAGGAACAGGGGTGGGAGAAAATTTACTTAACGGGTCAGTTAATCGGTTAACAGTGTACTTGTTTTTTTATCATTGAACTGGTTGAGCCTCGTCGTACACGTTCTACGAAAAGGCAACCGCGGTACGAACTGTCTTCGACTCGACGACCCCATAACAAGTGGAATCGTTCGATAACCATGTTCTCTCGACAGACACCATGCGGTTCTCCCTCTCTTTTCCACCGCAGTCGTCCCTGCTACCTCTCACCTCGTCTTTCAGCGACCGAAGTATTGATCCGACCTGAGCGATATCTACATACGGTGTTGTGTAGCATTGTAAACGGCCACCGTTGCTTACGAATCTCTGAAGGGATGTAAAATAGTATCCCCGAATCTGTTTTGTAGAAAATATGAAAAGGAAAGGCTTGTCTGTATTTCCTATGTCAAGAGAAAATAGAAATATGTTACAACTTCGTGATTCTTGGTATTTCGTATATTAATTATGTAACTTATGTAATTGGGAAATGGAAAGTAGATCTTGCGTGGCCGTTTCTGTAAGAAGTAAATTACGTTGCTATAGTCCCAAGACGAAATAACACAAGACACGCTATCTTAGATATGTAACGAGTTTATTTATTATGAAAATTCTAATTATCTTCGAGTTGATATAACGTCGATACCACTGAAATACGTATTAACACCGGGGTAACGAGGAAAGGGAGTTGTCTTTGTCTTGCGACATGGAAAAATTCGCGTCAATACAAAACGTTGAAGCGAACTTCCTCATGCGTTTACAACGGTATTTCTCTTCAGTCTTTAAGTGCACAACGATGCAATTGTAATTTTACGTTAAAAAACGTTACGCCGTCTTCAGATTGTATCTCAAACAACGTTCGTTATCTGAAAATACACGTAATAAAGAGATTTCGCGATTAATGATTACTATCAAACAAATAATAATAATCTCGCGATGGAACGTATCACGAACGCGTCCCGATATGCGACGCTTTTTTCTCGATCATAATTCAGCGTTAGTTCCGCTTCGGCGAACGTAGCGGTTGAAGTAGTCTGGCCGCCAACACTTGCAGCTTCCTGGCACCAGGAACCAATCGTAATACAGTCTCACCTGCGTCGAACAAACAATCGAGACGATCCAACAATCGTAAAATGATTCTTCGATGAGTTCAATAATTATTTACCTGGAAGCAACCCATTTCGTCGACACCGTCGCAGTGATGCGATCCACTGTTACGTGCCTCGTTTTCGCCAGCACGTTTTTGTAAATATTGTTGATAGTTTTGGAAATCGTGCACAGGCGGTGGTGAACTGGCTGGATCCCTTAAACCACTGATCCTAGTGTTCTGATTCTCTTCTAGGAAGGTGTCTGGGTAAAATATCTCTGCTACGAGTAGGCTAGTCCACCTCGGTGACGACAGACAGCCACCGTCCAAGTAGTGACACCTCGATTGCCTGTTAAAGTTGCATCTCTTAGCATTTGTTTCACAGAATCTTTTTGATTGATCAAGCTCCATTGTATTACATGCATCTGGTAACTTCTATGGTTTGCGTGAAGTAGCCTTCGTAAGGTATCTGGACCACGTAGCGCCAGACTCCTTGATAGTTTTTCGCGAATACTGGTGTCGCGTACTCCACTTTAGCCGGACAAGGAGTGGGTGGCCCGGTGTACTCTGGTTTCTCTTGTGGAGGTGTTCGTTGACGGTACTCGGGCGTCGAAGGCTCGTCCCGTCGCTCGGCTGCCGAAGTGGCCAACGGCTCGCCTTGTATAGCTTTGTACAACATGCAAACCCTTCGCAATCAAGTGAAAAGAATTAGGAAAATAGTCTATTATTATAATCAACAAAAATAATTATTTTCGAGTGACTTACACTCCGCCGCCGTTTTCACAGAATTTACGACCGTTCCTTAAAGTGTCTAACGCGCTTTCCGAATCGGAGGATCGTTTGCTTCTACTTCTTTTCTCATCGGTATCGACTCTAATTTAAAAAAATTTTTCATTAAACAGATCGTATATTTTATTTTTAGGATTCCTCTTGTTGTTTACTTACGAATTTTGGGAGTAGGAATGAACCGTGGCGACTTTTGGCAAAGAATCGTCAGCCTTGAGTATAGGCAATGCCTTGCTTAAGAATTTCAACGTATGATTCTTTATCAGCGTGCTACAGAGAATGATTAAAATTTTAAACACGCGATTCCTTTTAATTACAATACAATTTTTTATATCCGATTTACTTACAATGGATACGAGGAGCCATTGAAATATTGATTCATAGGATTCCGCGGTATGTATCCCTTATTAAGATCGCCGCAGATATTATGAATGGAGACGTAACCCTTTCCTTTACCGGTGTCTAAAGTAATTTGCATTTATTAAGAAGGGGAAACGTTTGTCATCGATTAAAAGTGGCACAACTTTGAAATACCGTAACATTCTTTGTCGCTGTCTATGTAAGGCGGCGGCCTCACTTTTGGCGGTTCGGCGTTCGGCGACTTTACGAATGCGTAGTATCCTTCCGGTGGTTCATTGGACTCCGTCGTCGAGTCGACGTCATTCGGTTTCAATTCGTTCGCGCGACAACAGACGCATAAAAGTATCATCTAAAATTTTTACAATTACGTTTCTTATCATCAATTACGGTCACTTTTATTGTACCTACAATCAGGAAATTACTATCTTAACATTATTTGCAGATTTCTTTAGTTTAATTCGATATATGTACTCAAGACGATGAAACCATTTAGATACCCAATGTAAACTCAATTGACTCATTCATGGGATCTCAGTTTCTATATTACTTTCGTCGTTTTAATTACCACCGGGATCTTAATTTTAACAAGGCCGTCTACTGGTATTTCGTGCACCGAACAACGTGTGCTAATGAAAAGGGAATCAATTGCGACACAAAAAATGTACAACTATCTAACTGCTTGATCCGGTCAAGCTCTCGTAGCGTTTTGCTGTTGTATACAAGGCATTCCCCGTTAAGATACCGAGGTATCGTATTCGGCCTTAACGGTACTCGGTCCACGCTCCGCGGACTATTAATACTCAGGACTATAGTCTTGCGCGCTGGCCCACTAAGCGTGCGCGCCGTTACATTCTTCGATCTTCAGGAATTTCGAAGATTAAAGGCGTCACGCGCAATTATTAGACCAGAAACACTTTAATCATTTTCGTAGTATTCCTTTTTGAATAAAGTGTATTGTATTTGTTCTCCGTCAATTGATCGGCCCGACGTATAGTTGATTAATCACAAACCGTGGGAAAAGTTAAACAAATGAACTAGTCGGTGCTGATTATAGAAATGTCCCGTATTCAGTAATCAGGAACCGGTATAAAGTAATACCGTTACGCAAATGCGTAATAAAAGTCATCAGGAAAAGTAGACGTTTTCGTTATTTTGGACATTAACGGAATATCAAATGATTAATTAAAAACACGTACTTGTTCAAAGAACGCAACGAGATCACTAGAAATATCAGTGGAACGTTTCTGTTACAATGTTGTAAAACAATTATAAAAATGAGGTGGATTTTTTAATTAACGATCACAAGGCTACGATTACAACAGTTTGTTTCAATGCCAAACTGTTAGATACTGTTAAATAATTTGACCCGAAGATACTTTTAAAATAATGTGAATTGCATTCGTTGTATTAAAATAGAAGACTGTGCCTACTTACTACAAACGTTCGGAATTCCATTCTGTATCCTCTTTCTTGAAACTGTACAGGACTCGAAACAGGAGTTCTGCCTGTGTCTCGTGATCACTCGACGGTCATAGCAAAACTGAACACATTGAACCCGCACCATGGTATAAGTATAAGGCTCGCCTTCGGTCCCGTACTCATCACCACCGAAGGCATGCACCAACCATCCCACGTTAAATCATGCCCCGACACACCTCCAAGTCTCACCAATCCGTACACTTTTTACCAATACTAACAATCATATTAATCATCAATTCAAGAATCAATAAATACATTCTTTATTTCAAAAGACTGATGATCCAGGTAATTTAAGGATGTATTGGCTATACAGTCAATCCCAAAAGTTTATATACCTTAGAAAAACGCATTTCCCATAATTAAAAACAAATCAGACGTCGGAAGAACAATGCTAATAATAAATAGCTACGTACTAAAAGGTATAGAAGGAAATATCCAATTCATTATTGACACTGGCGAAAAGCTTTCTATACAGAAGTTGTAGGCACTGACATCCTCTACAAAGAAAGATTCTATGCATTTTTCTTCCAACTCCAGTATTTAACGAGTTAAGTATGATTATTTGGCATTTTATGGGTACTGATAAAATCCGACCATTTCACCGTCGAAACGGCGAACTTTTGGAAAAAAATTTGGTTTTTCCTCAATAACTCCTAAACTGTTAAACTTACGAGAAAATTGCATAGAACCTTTCTTGTAGAGGACGACGAGATCTACAATTTCCGTATAAAAGTTCTTCGCTAGCATTAAT